AAAATCATGGAGCCTTTTGGTGAGCATTGAGTGAACTATTCTTTCACTTCAATCAAGCTCGAATTTTAGGCTTCAATCGAGCTTCTAATTTTTTTTCGAGTTCAAGCCTTTTCGAGTTCAAGTTTCAATATTATATTTCGAGTTTGAGTTGAACTTGATAATTTTTAGCTCGTGAGTTTGAGCCGAGTTGAGTTTACTTTTAAAGTTTTCAAGTTCGAGTCGAACTCAGCAATACTCGAGTTCGACTTGGCTCGTTTAACAAACAACGTCGTTTTGTTTAATTTTTAAAAAACAAAAAAAAAAACAAAATTAGCGGTTTTTTCGGTTTTCAGCCGGTCAGGTTCAAATGGTTCAACGGTTTCGACCGATTCACTAGTAGCGGTTCAACCGGTGTAGATTGAACCAGACTAGGCAACGGTTCCCGGTTGAACTAGCCGGTTCGGTCCGATTTTCAAAACATTGCATTAAATAATGGTTTAATAAATTATTAAAAGGTATAGCGTATTAAATTTTAAATTAAATATTAAACAAACACACCCTCTAAATATGTAATTTAAACGCATGAAAATAAAATAATGTAATGTATAATAGATAATGGATATCTATTAAACAACGATGAGCCAAAGTCAATCCTCATGTATGCATGAAAATGGGAAAAAAATGCAAAATTTATTGAAAATTGGACCCTTAGGAAACCATGTTCACTTCTTCGATCAATCTCATACTCTTTGAATGTCTCAAAACATCCTTATTCTTCACTTTCAAGCCAAGCAACTTTGACCAAAACCCTTTCTCCTTCTTCTTCTTCCCATCCTTGACCTCTTTCTCTCCTTCTTCATCGTAGAAGTTCCTTGTTTCGAAAGCAATCGATCTACTCTTCTTTACTCCATTAACACCGAATTTTATTGCACAACACGACGACGACGGCCCCATGATTCCCATCGGCTCCCCGAAACCGTTTCGTTTATGGGAATCAGGATGTCGTCGAGCCGGTGAGGTAGTCATCGAAGATGAAATCGAATGATATTCTATATTGGGAGAAAAGAATGATAAATTTTGTTTGTATAGACCGATCTCACTCAGACTCGATAATCTTTCTCTCAAGCAAGAAGCGCAAACCCCTTGCTTAACACAGTGATTTGGGTGGATCTTGCATCGGTAGCCTGATTCGGACAACCCCATAAGCACCAATTATTTTGATTTTTGGAGCAAGTTTTCGAATTGTTCATGTTTTTCTTCTTGTTGTCGTGCGTCTTATCATATATAGAGAGAAGTAGGCGATGAACAAATTAATGTTTTTTTTATCACGGTCTCGTCCATCACCGTTGGATCATGTGAAAGATCATGTACAGTACAGCCCCACATGATTGACTAAGAAATGTCGACAACGGTACGTGGGGGTAGCTTTAAGGCCCACTCGTGCAAGGGGTGGGTGGGGACGGAAAGAGTTTTGAAGTTGCAATAATGTGCGTTATAAAACTAAAAGGGTCTTTTTCAATGACTCACCATATGACTGTGTGAACCACCTTAGATTTGTATCAACTAACATGGTGTACATATAATTAACATATTATTACACACAAAATTATTATTTGTGATATATACACACAAAATTAACATGTACGCTATGTGGGGTTTTCTTCTTCTAGAAATAATATCGTTGGAAAAAAAAGGAAGGTGGGATATTTAAAATTCATTTTAAAATAATCTGAATTTGAATTCTAATCTACCCAATTTTAATAATTAAGATATTATGTATTCAGTTTTATACTATTAGACAGAGACAGCAACCTGGTCATTTGAATTCATTTCATGTATAGATTGTTTTGATTTAGATTCGGTTTGAGTTAAATCGAAACTGGTTCAAGTTTAATTTGCGTTGATGAAAATTTAGTTCGGATTGGATATCGGGTCGGATCAAAATTGGACCGATTGGTTTATAGTTCGAGTTAATATCGACCAGTTAGCTTCAACTCGGATTATTCCCACCCATATCACAATGTTTCTCCCCCCTCCCCACAACAATTGCTTACTAAATTATCATGATACGAAAATATTATACAAAGGGTAAACTACATAATAGTCATTAATATAAAAGCAAATTTTCGTTATCCCATTGAAGTTTTAAAAATAATAAATTGATCATTAATATTATTGATTTGTAGCAAAATAATCACTCCACCAGTGTTCTTATTAAACTGATGATGTGATAACGTTAACAAAAATGTTAATATTTAGTTTTATCCTTAAATTATTGCTAAAATATCAAATAAATCATTAAATAATGATTTTATACCTAATATACCCCAAAACTTTTTAATTTTTAATTTTCTTTTCAAATACCAACCACCAACGTTGTAAACTATCTGAAAACGAATCTTAAATACCCTACAGTTGAAGCCTGAAACCTCTAAAGATAACAATTATTTTTTTAATCACTGAGATAGTTTAATTCGTGTGCGTGCGTGCACATATATATATATATATATTAATATATAATCATGTATATGTCGATTGTGTATATATTATTTTATATGTCGTATCATAACAATATAGTTTAGATGATAAGATGAATACTTGTATCATATTCAAGTTGCATCTCAATTAAATATACAAATTAATAAATTGATTTTTTTGTATGTTAATATGTAATGAAACAAAATACCTGTTAAAATCAACTCCCAATCAATCAAATTTCCACCCCAACTGCATCTAAGCATCCCTGTACTTGTCTTCATTATCCAACCCATCGGATGAATAATTTTCATCACCGACTTAAATAACGGTTCACTATCAGATTAACGATCCTTATATAACGATATTATCTGAAACTATTATTACAGGACGCTAATAATTGTAATGATTATAACGATACCTGTTATGTTTGCGATTACGATAATTGTGACGTAATTAAAATCGTAATTAACCGCAATTTAAATCTTTGAATTTCATAATATCCATCGACAACGGCACCTGATTATAACCTCACCATAAATATAGTAAGCTCGCCGGCATTATTTCCGTCGGGGCCCAACATGTAGAGGGTCTCGGAATCCTTCGACCCGACGACTCGATTGAAATACGCTCGGATATTCGCCAGCTCCCCGTCGACGCCTTCGGTTTTGGAGATCCCCGGCAATACCCCAGCCCCCCATGGAAATCGGGCTGAGAAGCTCCATGACGTTCAAATCCTCCTCCGTCGCCTCCCGTCATGAAACGAGACCAGTCTTCTTGCCGTTGCAATACATGGTCCACAAGGGCTCGTCCAAGAGCTTGGTTTTTTCTTTCCCCGCCGTTCGCTTCTCGCACTCGAGGGCGATCCTCACCATGCCGGAGCTGAGTTCCTTCTGCAACGCGTTAGTCTGCATGGCCAACTCGAGGACCAACGAAGGGAGACACTTGGGGCTCTCTTGGATCGAGAGGGTGACCTTGCCTTTACGGTACCCGAAAAGGGTGTCGATCACCAGGGTGCCGGAGTTGGTGACGTGGGTATCCGATTGTAAACCGGTGGGGCAGACGAGGAACGTGCGCGAAGGAGTGAGGATGGGGAAGGAGAGGAAAACCGAACGGAAAGCTCGGAAGACGCGGCATTTTTGTCTCTTGCCGAATTTTAATGCGGATGGCTCGATGAGGGAGAAGGGTTGTTGTGGCGGCGACGGTGGAGATGAAGGAGATTTGGGTGAGGAAGGGGGGTTTAATGGAATTACGACGGATGAGCCGTCCCTGGAATTGGCGTTGCTGGTTCGAGAGTCCGCCATTAATGGACGGTGAGGAAGAACCAGGGACAGGGAAGGCCCATAGGAGGGAGGGGACAGGGATGATAGATGTGCATGTTTTAGGATTAGGTGTTGATTTGAGGCTTAAGATTTTCCCTAAAAACATGGTCCAACTTTAGTCCTTTCCTTTTGCCTCTTTTATTTTGGGTATTGGAAATATATTTATAATACTAAATTATTTAAGGTAAATTATGTATTTAATATCTAAATTATCAATTTTAGTTCATTTTAATATCTAAACTTAGCGAACGAGATGACGGAGCATAGCTCCGGTGGACGAATTTTCACAATTAAATTATAATAAAATTGAATTTTCAAGTTACTATGATTGTTATATACATTTTTATGTTTGTGTTGATAGTGCTTATCCTCACACAAGAAGAAACATGTGATTTTATATTAGAGATACAATTTTTTTTGAAAATTATATTAAAATTTTTAAGAATTATAAGGGGCAAAACTTTCGAGATAATGTTCTGGAAAAAATCAATTCACGAGATAAAACACTCCCAACATTAATTGCTCAAATAAGGTGAAATCCACAGTGTTGGCCGTAGGTCGCCATGCCTTCCGGGAGACCTACTAGGTCGCCATGTCTTCCCGACGAGATACAAGAGATTGCATGTGCCATGCACGTCCCAACACGCTGGGCATCCGAGGCCATCCGACCGAGGCCATCCGACCGAGGCCATCCGAGAGCATCCGAGGCCATCCGACCGAGCTATGCGAGGGAATCCGAGGGCAACCGTGCGAGGGTAGGTCGCCCGGAGTGCATGACGACCTACAAGGTCGCCCGGAAGGTATGGCGACCTACGACCAACACTGTGGATTTTACACTATTTGAGCAATTAATCTTGGGAGTGCATTAGCTCGTGAATTAATTTCTTTCAGAACATTATCTCGAAAGTTTTGCCAATTATAAGGTTTAAGGACGAAATTTTATCATCAATATATATATATATATATATATATTAAGCTTGCATTTCTCAAGTGTTTGGGTCTTAAAAGTTAATTACGTGTGTTAATAAATTAGATAGATTAGAAAAACTATATATATTTTTTATTTAAAGTTCTTTGTTTTTCTTGCCTAAACATAAACTTTATGTTAAACTTTCTCAGTAGCCAAACATCAGATTTTCATGATATAGAACAATGTAGACCATTCCCAAGGTTCAAATTCCAACGTTTTTTTTACATGCAAAACTACAAATCCAGAAGTACTGCTCACACAGCCCAGAAGAACTGCTCTGGTATTGTTGCTGGGCACTCCCTCTTTGACACAGAACAGTACTGATGCACACCACAGGAAATATATCAGGACAACATTAACATTAGCATACGGTCACTCGATTTATCGAAAGCCAACCGTGTCGTAAACACTGCAACTACTCACCTTCGACTGGCTATACTTGGCTGCGATCGCACTCAAAGCGGTACCACCTCCGTCACGATAGAGAAGATGCAATGCCTTAACACATTCCTCTAAATCAGAGGGCTGGTATAGTGTGTATTCCCTCAATTTAGCATCCTGCACAAAAAAGCAGACATAGATCATCCAGCACAAGCTTATACAAAAACTAGGCCAAGTTGATAAACAACCAGATAGAAAGTACCCAAGGTTTGTCTGAAGGAGATAGTATAAATCTGGCCAAGAAACCGGCAGAAGCCGCGACTTGCTGCGGTGCATAACGAAGCATAGCGTAATCCAGAAGTGATAACTGTACAATGTAGCTGGCCAAACATTTGAGCTGCAACAGATGATCCTATTGAAGACAGGCATAGCCATATCCACTATGACAATTAGGGGGTCATTTGGAATTTTGGATTACGGAACGTAAGACTACTGATGAATACATTTGTGCATGAGAGCGATACCCGATCACGCGTTTCGGCAACCCAAACAACATGCCTCAGAAAATTATAAGCTGTTGGGACTGCCATTTCATATTTCAAGTGGTACAGCACGGCGGATTCCATTTGTAGCATCTGCAGCCAGTAAGAAGGAGGGAAAATATGTTCACGGAGGTTGCGGTGAATAAACAAGATCGGAAATGGGATCCTGACCTCATCTTTCAGGTAACTTTTACCGGTAACATGGCACCACACTGGCACTTTGGGAGTGGCTTTAAGTGAGACGTATTTCCTGGCATTAGATCGATTTTGGTTATAATCCACATTTACAAGCACATATGCATACACAGAAGCTAGAAAGAAACATGAAATCTTACCAAGCAATCATCATGCAGGCAAGTCCAAGCAACTGTAACTGTTGGCTGTTAATTGAAATGTTGGACAGATAACGATCAATGTAACTCACGGTTAAACATAGTGTCTCGGGTCGAAGTAGAAGCTTTTTCATTTCGGTTACCTGCAGTTGAAACAAAGATAAACGTGAAACAGTGTGCTGGAAAGGCTAAATTCCTTGTATTATGTAAACATAACTTACCCTCACTAGCAAATTGATGAGACTAGCTCGCATTTCCACATTAATATCGATCTGGACCGTCTTCATGTAGTCCTTAGAAGGCCTTTTCAATATCTGCGAGACACCGGGAATAGGACGGAAACCGATCAAGCAGGAGTCGAAGAGAAAAAACATAGCATAGGTAAAGAGTGACGTTATTCAAAATGAAGCAATGAAGGAAGCAGCCTCTGCATACCGCATAATACCCCAAGTTCTTGTAAATTTCAAGACCAAGGGCAATCATCTCTGGAATGCTGTTTCCGTCAGTCTCGTTCGAATCCGTTTCCGATACATAAACATCCTCTAAATGTCTTATGGAAGTAGGCATCTGGTCATCAAAATCTTGCACAACCTGTGCGCGCTCCAAGGAAGATGGTGTATAGAGCTCTTCGATGTACTCCAAGGCATCGAAAGTGGACGACGAAGGAGGAGTTTCCTTCAAAAACAAGTTTAATCAACCTTCTTAGTTTACATCTAAGAATGAAATCTCGATGATAAAGTCACATAATTCACTATTCAAGAAAGGAACTTGAAAAAAAGAAAGAACTTAGCATTTCTGTTTTGTTTATCCCAAGAACTAAAAAAAGGTAAAGTAAAACGAACCATGGGTTTTGATCGAGTTAGCAAGGCCTTTGACTCGCTTTGGAAACCACTTATCTGGCTGGATATGTCGCCAAGAGTGACTCGCTCGAACCAGATAGTGGAAATGAAATGAGAAGTAGTTGCGTGTGTTTCAGGAAACTCGCTAAAACATAAGAAAATGAAGAAGAAGAAAAGTAAGAATGGAGTATAAATTGAGAAGAATTTTTATAACGCAACCGAGATGAATTCTGTTGCAGTTTTCTTTTTCTTGGTCCGATTCTTGAAAGGAATTAAAAATGTTAAAAGTAAAAATTATCTTGTCCCTTTCATTTCGGGTGCGGAATTAAGTGTTTCACTCTCCCCTTTATTCCCGTGGATCGTCCGTCCACACATTCTCTATGGTTCTTATCATTGTCTTCTCGCAGTCGTTCATCTTTCCTTCGTCATCTGATGATTTTTCGGAATCTTAACGCAATTTCACAGCAACGTCGTCACTCATCTAATGATTCGCACGAACTCCCATCACAATTTCGCTCATTGCCACCATCGCAGAGCCTTCACCCATCTTTCATCCTTTGATTTTCTCTCTCCTGGTTTCGTCGCTCTTACATTCTCCTGATGTGCACTAGCCTCAACTTTTCATTTATCTAAAATACAAGGTCTGAATAACAAGCGATAATGATGATAAAGTTTTGAGAGATGGATTTTGAATTTTATGTTGTACCAAATCGAAGAATTTACAAATATTGAGAACTTTCTTTTAGGATTATTTTAATTAGGATCTATTCGATAGAATGTAAGTTTTAAAAATTAAAATTATTATTATACCATTTCATATCATCACTTCACTTAAATTAATGACTAAACCTAACAGGATAATCAAAATTAAAATGAAATGTAACTTTAATTTAAATTTTAAAAAAAATAATTAAAATAAAAACATGATAATACGTGGGTGACTAAACAAGTAATTTACCTTAAAGATTTATCATTTTCAGGTCGCCATGAGCTAGCCCATTTTCACTAATGGGTCAAGTTCAGTAGATGGAACATTGAATCGAGTTGATTTGAATATTTTTTGAAATTTTTAGGATAAATTATATATTCGATCATCATCTATTTTTATATTTTTGTTTTAGTCATTTAACTATTTTTCTTTTTAAAATCATAACTAACAATATATTTTATTTCTATTTTAGTCACCCGTTTTTAGGTCCGACTTAACAAAAATAGTTATGTTGTATGATATAATAATAGTTTTAAGGGTAAAGTACAATAATGGTCACTGAACTTTTCTAAAGCTTTCATTTAGGTCTCCCAACTTTTAAAATTTACAATACAATCCCCTAACATTTAGTCTGTTTGCAATATGGTCCCCAAACATTTAGTCTATTTGCAATATGGTCCCTGACTGTTTGACGCCGTTACACTACCGTTAGTATGTTTGCAATATGGTCACTAAACTTTTTAGGCACTTTCATTTAGGTCCCCCAACTTTTAAAACTTGCAACACAGTCCTAAATTTCATTCTAAACACCAAATTCCTTTTCGATCTCGAATTTACTTTTTCGCTTCTCTCTTTTTATTTTCAGCGTAACTTTTCAGTCGGGGATACATGGGAAATTCTAATCTAACTTTGAATTATGTGGAGATGTTGACTTAAATAAGGGTTCATTGAGAGAAGACCCGACCAATGGACTATCGAAACCATCAACAATTCAAGGTGTAAAGTTAGATACATGTCATCGCAGGTGAAGCATAGATGTTCAATGAAATGCTTGTGAGAAAAAAATGGGGTTAGAAATGCAGAGTTGACAAATACTACTAAGATGAAGTAAGTATCATTGTTGAAAGTCACCAACAAAGATGGAATTATTTTGTATAAATGTCATATAATAATTTCTTCGTTTAATTCTTATGCATAAAGATTTTCCAACAGATGATCAAATATAATGAAATCCCAAACAGCGCATTCACTTCTCAGTCTCTTTCGCAACTCGAAAGGAATCATGATAGGGTCAAGTAGATGCTCCAAATATAATACGCTGTCATAATGCATTTCGAGTTGCGTGCATGCATAATTATCTTCTAAAGTTATAATTCAATACAATTCAACTGTAAAATTTCCAAAACATGTAAAAAAAATTAATTCGTCCACGATATATCAGTCCCATAATCAACATGAACTTATTAAAAAAAGATGAGCTCACAGGACGCCGAAAACCATAGGTCGGATCAATAAAATTCCCAGTAAACTAGTACCAATAGTCTCTCAGATTGAGCCTGACGATTTCACTATGTCGATACTCACAACCAATTCCCTGATTTAAAGAAAAACCAAACAAGAAGATCAAAAAAATTTAGCCTAGGACTCTGTTTCACTTCTATTCTGATGGACTGAATATCTTTCATAAGGAGTACTAAAAGTTTTGATTAAGAAGAAAGAAAGAAAATTAGATGGTTGTGGTTCAAAACTAACACTGAATATCCAGATCATTGACATGCAATTCCAAAAACATAAAAATTTCAACAAAAAACATACAATGCGAGTTGAAAATGGGAAAGTGCGAAAGAGGAAAAGCTTACTTCTGGATAGCCCGAAAGAGAAAATAAATACCTTCTTGTAAGTGAGGGGAGAGACTAAGAAATAAACACAATCAGTGTTGCGTTCAAGCAATTATTCCTCTATTTTTTATTTGTAAATAAAAAGCTGAAAGACAGAGCACTGCTTGGGTTTACAATTTTACACGGCGGAAAATTGAAGAACAAAAACCAAACGAGAGGTGAATGCTCTGTTTGGGATTTCATTATATTTGATCATCTTTTGATAAATCTTTAAGTACAAAGATTAAACGAAGAAATTATTATATCATTTATACAAAATAATTACAGCTTTGTTGGTGACTTTCAACAATGATACTTAGTTCATCTTAGTAGTATTTGTCAACTCTACATTTTAACCCCATTTTTTTCTCAAAAGCATTTCATCGAACACCTATGCTTCACTTAAGATGACATATATCTAACATTACACCTTGAATCGTTGATGGTCCCGATAGTCCCTTGGTCGGGTCCTCTCAATGAACCCTTATTCAAGTCAACACCTCCACATAATTCAAAGTTAGATTAGAATTTCCCATGCATCATCGACTGAAAAGTTAAGCTGGAAATGAGAAGAGAGAAGTGAAAAAGGAAATTTGACATCGAAAAGGAATTTGGGGTTTAGAATGAAATTTAGGATTGTGTTACAAGTTTTAAAAGTGGGAGACCTAAATGAAAGCTTTAGAAAAGTTCAATGACCATTACTATACTTTACCCTAATTTTAATTCTCAAAACTTAAAATAATTTAATAAATCTTCAACATATTTAATATGTATCAATTTGGTCAAATAATTTTTTTTTCAAGGTTAAAAGTCTAAATTTGATTAAGACATCAATTATTAAAAACAATTCTATCAACTATTGAAAAAAAATCTTAATTTATAAGTGAAATATGATGTTATAAGATTATATTATAATTTCTCATAATGTTATATTACTATATGTTTATAATACTTTACATGTAATTGATACAACGATATATTTAAAAATATTTTTTAGTGTGAATATATATATATTTTATTAATATAAAATTTTCATACTGAATAAAAAAAGTTGACGGGCATTCATTTAGTGTTCGTGTAGTGTTGTTTTATTGTTTGTTTATCGTTCATTTATATATTTGATTTTTAATTTCATTTGCAAGCTAAAGAAAAATTATAAGATTACGCTAGTGCTTAAAATCCATTAAAAAACAACTTTTATTACGTGTTATATTTAATTCTTATCTTTACCAATATTTAAAATATAAAAAAAATAAAAAAAAAGAAGAATTAGGTAAACGAGTTTATTCATGAATATAAATGAACGAGTTGATGAATGAGACCATAAACGAGCTTATAAACGAGTTTGTTCGTAAACGTAAACGAATCGAACATACTTATATTCATGTTCGTTCGTTCATTAAATGACATAAATTTTTTATTCATATTCATTTATAAATGAACATTATACGAACGATTTACAAAAAATTTATCGAACGTTATGATGATTAACACTCCTATATATTAAACATATTCGCTGTGTAAAAAGAGAAAAAAAATAAATGAACACACAACAAAACAAAAAGTCGGCTCACAAACAGTGGATTAGTGGAAGGCAACGGTGTCGAATTTTGTCGCTATGAATGGCATAGAATCAACGCGCCTTGTTTCTACAAGTGCGCATCTTTCGCACTTCAAGGACCAATTTAGTATACTTTTACTAATATCTTTAATTTTAATGTAATTTAAGCTTAACTTTTGCTACATTAATTTTTTTAGTTTTCATGTTAATCCGATAACAATTTGTTAATAATATTTAAAAATTATAAACTCGAATGTATTTAAATGTAATTACTTCAATGCTGATATTATAGGCTGTTAAGCATTATAATTCGGAATAAATTACGCGTTTAATACTTAAACTATTAATTTTAGTTTGTTTTAATATCTAAATTTTTACTCTTTTTTTTTCAAAACTATACATAAAGTTTATTCTTTGTTTCACTTTAGTAACCCGTTCAAAATTTAAAGTTAAATTTTGATTTTCTTTTTTGAAAGATTAGGTACTAAAACAAATCAAAACTGATAGTTTATATATTAAATGCGCAGTTTACCCTATAGTTTGTAGGGTAGAGTATACAAATGGTCCTCCGACTATAGGATGGTGCTTTATTGAGTCATTTGATTATTAAAAGTTACAAAATGGTCCCCCGAGTATAGAGTGATGTTTTGCTGACTCCCCGAACTATTAAAAGTTATAAAATGGTTTTCTGACTATTCATATGTTCTAAACTTGTCATTTTTCGTTAAAAAATTGGCGAAAATCTGAGCTAAACGTTAACTTGTTAAGCACTTTTGTTGCTTTCAAGCATCGGCTCAATAATATTTTATCATATCCTAGTCAACATGTTAACATTCAACTCAGTTTTTTAACAGAAAATAATGCATTTATAACATATGAATAATTAGGTGGTCATTTTGTAACTTTTAATAGTTGAGGGACACAACAAAAATAACGTCATATAATTGAGAGAACATTTTATAACTTTTAATAATCAGAGGACTCAATAAAACATCTTATAATCAAGAGACCATTTGTATAATTTACCTTATATGTACTTTCAAAAATAAAGTTTTAATTTTAGTAATGGAGCTATATAATCATGTGACCCTCTATCACCTTATCTGTTTGTGTTGTGTATGGAAAGATTATCCCAAAAATAGAGTGTGACATCCGATAAAATTAAGTCGAAACTGCCCCCTTTATCCCATTTGTTTTTTGCGGATGATTTGATATTGTTTGCTGAAGCATCCTTTAATCAGCTTGAGGTGATTCAAAAAATTCTTCTTAATTTTTGTAATAGCTCCGGGCAGAAGGTAAGCATTGCAAAGACGGATATTTATTTCTAGAAGAATGTAAATGAGAACATGGCTTCTGGCATAAGCAATCGATTCCAATTCTCACGTGTTGATGACCTTGGGAGGTATCTTGGTGTACCTTTACTTCAGAATCGGGTGACCAATAATCCTTATCGATACATTGTGCAAAAAAGTGAGGGACCATTTGACAGGATGGAAGGCAAAAAAACTTTCTTTAGCAGACGAATTGTCTTAGCAAAATCAGTGCTGGCTGCGATTTCAGTCTTTGCCATAAAAACTTGTCATTTACCGAAAGGGACTGTGGATGACTTGAATCGGATCATGCGTGCATTCATTTGGGGTGGTACCGAGGATAGTCGCTGGGTCCATCTTGTCTGTTGGGAGGAAGTATGCACTTTACAAAGGACGGGTGGACTAGGAATTAAGAATCTCCATCGACAAAATGATGCTTTTATTATGAAGATGGTGTTCCGGCTAGTATCTTATCGACATACGTTGTGGGTGAAGATCTTAAGAGCCAAATATAATATGCGTGAGATGATTCCGAACCAAATCCATTAAATTGGTTGTTCTCGCTTTTGGGGTGGCATAAGTACGGTTTGGGATGAGGTTAAGAATGGGATTGTGAGGACTGTAGGGGATGGGTCCTCGGTTGACTTCTGGAAGGACGCATGGCTATGAGAACTAGGTCCTCTAGCAGCGTTACGGACCACCCCTCAACAAGAGAGTGAGATTTTCACTCCGGTCAATTTGATGGTTGATACGAACTGACAGTGTAAGTGGGGTGAGCTTCACAATTTGCTTACTCCTATCGCCGAACTGCATCTAGCAGCAGCAAAACCACCTTGGGCAGTAGGTTTCCCGGATGTGGCCTGCTGGCGATGGGATAAGCATAGGAGATTTTACGATAAAAAGTGCTTATGATTGTGGTATGAGCTTGGGGTCTCAAGAGGATAATACGATTTGGCGAGTGCTCCATCATTATCGAGGACTTCCTCGGGTTAAATCGATGTTGTGACTGCTCTGTAAGGGGCGATTACTGTCTAATGAGTAGCGAATGTGAAGACATATGACAGATGATTCAAGCTGTAAATTCTGTAGAGCAGCTGTGGAGAATCTTCCGCATATTTTTCGAGATTGTGTGGCGGCGAGAGCAACATGGAATGCGGTGGTGAGACCGGAGTAGTCTGCTGATTTTTATAATATGGCATTTGAAGCTTGGTTAGTGCGAAAAATAAAGAATGGGGATTACCGGCCAAGCTTACATGAGAATTGGGATTTATTACTCGAGATCTTCCTTTGGTGTTTGTGGACACATCGAACTAAATTCATCTTTGAGCCTGATACTGTTTATTTCGAAAGTGTTCTAGTTGCAGGTAAAAGAATGTTGACAGAAACCTTAAGAGCAAATATGTTGAGGGTCTCAAGGGCACCGGGGAATAGCCAGTCTGCAAATAGGAATGTGAAGTGGATGCCACCACTGGGTTGGATACTATAAACTCAACACAGATGGTGCTTACAGGTCGGATAGTGGTCGAACCACCTGTGGGGGACTGATTCGGGATCACTCAGGGGGATGGGTGTCGGGTTTTTCCTAGAATATTGGCTGCTGCTCTGTTTTAGATTCGGAGCTCTGGGACATATTTGAAGGTTTGAACATGGCTTGGGAGCTCGATATAAAGAAGATAGTTGTGGAAGTGGACAACAAGGAGGTTGATGTAGGGGATCCGAGACAGATGATGTTGAGCTGTCAGATTGTACCTTGACACTGAGATACTATGAATTGGCAGATCAGCGCAAAGGCGGGAATTGATTGTGACATGTTTCTCATTGGGATCGTTTTGAATATGTTTCAGTCTTTTGGCCATAACTTTGGCTACAGATGTCAGAATCACGCATAAGACCCCAATCCGGAAAACTATTTTCGACGCACACCCTCTCCACAAACCCTAGAGACTTTTTTCTCTGATTTTTTGAACTAATTTTCTCTTGTAAATCATCTGTTGGAGCGCCTGCAGGATAATCATTATTCTATCCGACGTCAAAGGTGCTTGCGGTGATAAACGGCGATCAGTGTTTATTTGGTGTTTCTTCGTTTGTCCCTCATATTTTCGAGATGCTGCAGAAAGATTGGGAGCTGAGTTTCAGCTTGGTCCCTCGCGAGGCTAATTATGCAGCTGATCATCTTGCTAAATTAGCATGGAGTATCCCTGTTGGTATTAACAGATTTTCGGTTCCTCCTCTTAAGTATCGTAGCTATGTCTGCCACGAGTATGGAAGCTGTGGGCGTGTGCATAGTGTAACTGGGATAGGGTTGCTACTATTTTTTTTTTTGCACCTTTTTATTAAAAAAATAATTATTTTTACTATTCCTAGTTTGCTGCAAATAATTCGGTATTCAAATTCGATTTTGCCTACTCTCGGAATTAATCATATAGGATGATTGATAAGGACAACTAAAAACAAAAATCAGATCAAATAATTTATATTTTTATTTTATTAATCTATTTTATTTTTTTCATAAAATATATTATACAACAAAATGGTTAAAAACTTAAAATAGATAAAAAAAACTACAATATAACATGAAGAATAAATATCATCAATATTAATATAAAATATATAAAATAATGACGACACATTAAAGAATTGATTTTATCATAATCTAACCGTGACTTATTTTTTGTGATCGTAATTACTTATCAAAATAAAATAATTAACTTGATGTTTTAAACTAAAAATAAATCATTAAGATAACAAAATAAACGTCAATTAAAAATGAAACATCAAATCTTACCCAAAAAAAGAGAAAAATAGCATACTACAAAGCTAAAAAGTGTATTATATAAGAGAAGACAAACATGCTACAAGAGAGAAAAACATTTATTATTTTTAATTATTAGAATATGGAATAGATTTACTAAATTAAAATAAAATTAAAATATCTAATAAATAAATAAATAAAATTACAAACACTATGACAAAATATAGATGACGACTGCTTAATCAAAACATGTGTTTTAGTTCATATTTATATTAGTGTAAATTATATAAATGATGTTACGATTATATAGTATTGTTTTATTAAATACATCGACTATTAAAAGTTATAAAATAATCATTTAACTATAAAATGTTATTTTATCAAATCTTTTGACAATTAAAAATTTTAAAATGGTCACTCGATTATTTATTATGTTATAAACTCGTTCTTTTTCATTAAAAAATTGACGATTGTATAAGCTGGACGTTAACATGATGACTGAGATTTGATAGTTGTTTGAGATTCTAGGATCAGATTTTTATCATAACACTGTCAAGGAACTCAAGAAAGTAACACTACATAGTTAGAGGACTATTTTATAATTTTTAATAGTCAAATAATTTAATAAAATAATACCTTATAGTTTAGGGACTATTTGTGTATTTTATCTATGATTTATGATTTATTATAACAAATTGAGTAAGATATATCTGAGGTAATTATAAGTATTTGATAAAACAGATAATTAAAAAATTAAATTATTATTAAGTAAATTATTAAATTTAAGTAATGCAAAGAAATAAAAAAAATTAGTGATTATAGGCAAGTTTCTCTCCAATCCGTTGACCCAAATACAGAAAACCGGAAAGAGGGGGCGGACAATAGCATAAGCTGACACGTCATGCATCGCTAAGAATAATACAACGTGTCGGCCAACCGAACCAGTGGCAGGCTCGAGTCAGCTTTTGATGGCCCGCAGAGCGCAGCCCCTGGTTCGACCCGGTTCACTTATCTCCGAACTTTTTGGGCAATAAGTAACAGAAAAGGAAAATAAATTTGTGAGGGCCAAAGGGAAAATAAAACGAAAAGTCCACTCTCCGTTTCTTCTTTGTCCCCTCTCATCGGAATACTATAAAAATAAAATTAAAGAGACACACAAACCGCCGTTTGATTCCCACTGTTCTCTCTCTCTCTCCTTCTAATTATCAAATTTTTATTTTCTCTCTCTTTTGTTACAATCTTTGAACGGCATGAAAAACCCTAGCTTCTGACAGCCGCCTTTGCGATTTCTTGTTGTGATTGAACCTTAATACGCGCGCAAGTAAGTTAGTTTTTTTTTCTCCAGATTCCAACATCTGGGGATGTTATTCCGTTCTGTTTCCAGCGAAAAGACATAGGGGAAATGAGGATTTTAGGAGTTGGGGATTTGTGTGTTTTTTAACGATAGGCTGAGCTTAATTTAGTTTCGATTTCATTTTGTTTGTTCGTGTTGATTTTGTTAATTTGCTCTGATTTTTCTTGTTCGAGGTTTGTAGCGCGTTTATATTGAAATTCGAGTTGCAAAATCTGGATTTCCCGGGTGGGAAATTATTGCGAGGCTCATGAGATTTGTGTGCGTTTGGAGTATATACTTGAATATTGGCTAGACGAGGATTTGGATGTTTAATTAACTTTGTGGCGTGTATTGTTTCTTGTTATTCGGAATGGCAGAAGATAGCCTCCGGATGGTTGGGCTTTCTTCTGGTTTGGCTGTTATCTTGAATAGTGGGGATGGGAAGGAAAATCCGTCGAAATCCCGCCTTGTATCGTATTCTGATGAATTTGGTCAGCAATCTGTGGAGCGAGCTCTTGAATATGTGTTTGGTCTTCCGAATAAATCACTTGGTCCATTGAGTTGTCCTGTTGACAGCAGTCTAGTTCGTTCTATCATAAAGAACCACTTGTATTCAGGTTCTGATTCTTCGGTTAGTAACAGGGATGGGGTTTGTGTTTTAGATAATGGCTCTGGACCTGATGTTGTTGGTCTTGAAGAATTCAGTATTTGTGGTGAAATTAGAATCGTTAAGCCACCGTTGCTTTTAGAGAGCTTAGCAGTGTTCAGTAGCGCCAGGGCTAATGCCTGTGTTTGGAAAGGGAAATGGATGTTTGAAGTAATTTTGGAGACTTCTGGTATACAACAGCTTGGATGGGCTACTATTTCTTGTCCATTCACTGACCATAAGGGTGTAGGTGATGCTGATGATTCGTATGCTTTTGATGGCAGAAGAGTTAGCAAATGGAACAAGGAAGCTGAGCCATACGGCCAGCCATGGGTGGCAGGTGATGTCATTGGATGCTGCATAGACTTGGTTCATGATGAGATTTCATTCTATAGGAACGGTATTTCTCTTGGTCTAGCATTCTTTGGCATTCGGAAAATGGAACCTGGATTTGGATATTACCCTGCAGTTTCTCTTTCTCAGGGTGAACGGTGTGAATTGAATTTTGGTTCCCGCCCCTTTAAATACCCTATTGATGACTACCTTCCTCTTCAAGCACCTCCTCCTTGTAGCCCTTTTGCGAAGCAATTGCTGGACTGCTTATCCAGGCTGTTGGATATGCAATCTGTGGAGCATGCTGAGCATTCTTCAGTTGAAAAATTGAGGAGACTGAAGAGGTTTGTATCACTCGAAGAATTATTTTATCCTGTTTGTCGTGGGATATGCGAAGAGTTCTTCTCTGTAGTTGAAGCGGGTTGTCGAGGTGCTGAGTACATTGGTTGGGGTTCTCTTTTGTTGTTCTTTATGGGGATATTTGGAGTACGGGCACCACATGATTGGTTGAGTTTGGATAGAATACTTGATGTGTTTCTAGAATTCCAAGGATCACATATTATGTTCGAGCACCTTATAAACGCTCTTTCATGTGCTTGCAAGACAGCGTCATTGGTTCTGACAGAATGCCCATATTCAGCATCATATTCTTATCTTTCATTGGTATGCCATTTATTTAGACGGGAACAATTGATGGTGTTGTGGTGGAAATCATCAGATTTTGATTTCTTATTTGAAGGCTTTCTATCACGGAAGAGTCCAAACAGGCAGGACCTTCAGTTCATGATTCCTTCTGTTTGGTGGCCTGGTTCTTGTGAGGATGTGTCCACTGAAAGTAGCATGCTGTTGACAACCACAGCTCTATCGGACGCAGTTAGTAAGGTTTTCCTCTCACTTTGAACTTAACATTCATGAATATTGCTTCTTTACCCCCTTTTCCCCTTTTTTCTTGGCAACAGCCATTGTATATAACTGTTCAACGAATATTTATAAAACTGTAAATGCCTTAATCTTAATTTAATGATTGTCTTTTCTTTTATTTTGCTCCCTCTTCCAGATTGAGGAAAAGCATAGGGATCTCTGTCTCTTAGTCATACAGTTCATACCTCCTTTACAACCTCCACAGTTTCCTGGTTCTGTATTTAGGACATTTGTGCAGAACCTTTTATTGAAGAATCGAGGAGCTGATCGCAGTATGCCACCTCCTGGGGTTTTAAGCAATTCTGTTCTTGTTTCTTTGTACACTGTTATTCTCCGTTTTCTATCAGAAGGCTTTGGAATGGGGAACATTTGTGGGTGGTTGAAGAGCTGTGATTCTAGTGGCCATGATATTGGTTTTCTTCATCGAGGTGGCAGCCAAAGTTTCCCAATAGGTTTGTTTCTTAAGAGTGATCCACATCGAGCTGAAATTTCTAGGCTTGGTGGATCATTCTCTCACCTGTTGAAATCACATCCTATGCATGATCAGGAAGCAGAAGTTATTCGGTGGGAGGAAGGCTGTATGGATGATGAAGAAACAAGAGTAACTCATTTAACCAAACAGAAACCATGTTGCTGCTCATGCTATGACATGGAGTTCACAAAGTGCTCAAAGTATCCAATAAGAACTACAACTAAGAGTTCCCGTCACCACTCCAGTACCATTCCTGAAAGATCTGCTCAGGTTGCTGCAGAATGTAGTACAGGAAGTTTGAATGATGAGATAGCGGATAAACCTAGCTCCAGTGATCGGTCGGAATCTGAGTTTGGTTATCGCCCTGTCCAACACATGACTGTACCCAGAGATAGTGATATGTCTTCATCCACTCTAAGAGAGGAAGAACTTTTGGATGCTTTGTTATTACTTTATCACATAGGCCTTGCACCAAACTTTAGGCAGGTGAGAGTTTGTTAGATCAGAGGTACATCGAAATATTGCATGGATTTTTTTTCATTATTTCGCAACTTGTTAATATTTCAACTTCACATGTTATAACTGTCTGGACTGTAATCTTTAAAATAGTGTCTAATTATTGGGTATCACCAATAGCTTTCTCTTTGGGTCGGTAACATTAGGCTGGAGATCATGCCTCAAAAAATTTTCAGTTAATGCTGCGGGCTTTGGCTGAAACATGAAACTGTCTTGGTCAGACTCAAGGCTTTTGTTATGCAACTTCAGTGTTTGTTTAGTTATTTGTTTTTATGTGCCTGAGACCTGATGGCTATGGCAGTGTACTGGATTTACATTGTAATTGTTTTAACCTTCTGAGGTAGTGTGACCAAGTAGTTAACCTATAACCAAAAAATCTATGTTCTGCATGTCTTGTAGTATAGAAAGGTTTCAAAATGATTCTTTTGTTATGGATGATTTTCCTCTTAATTATTTTGACGGAAATAAAATTGTTTTATTTTTCTTTCCTTTAAATAGTGATTTTATGTTTAGTGCTATATGGTTCTACCTATGAAATTGTAGCAACACCCCATTACTAATGTGAAAAACTGAGAAAAATTTTCCTCTTATAGGCGTCATATTACATGTCGCATCAGTCACAATCAATATCCCTCCTGGAAGAAACTGATAAACAAATACGAGAACGAGCTTGCAAGGAGCAATTAAAGCATTTGAAGGAGACTCGAAATAACTATCGTGAAGAAGTTATTGATTGTGTCAGACATTGTGCATGGTAAGATGACTGAGTAGCTTGTTTTCGCATGGATCATTTCTCTGATATTGGCCTCATTTCTTCTCACTGATTTAATTTGTTGTCTTTTCTTCTTTTGATTTGTCAGTAGGTGTTCGAGTTTATACATTGTATTTCACTTATGATGTTAAACAAAGTACTAGTATTCTTATACAGTGTCAAAACCTTAGATTTAAGGAAACTTTTCTTTAGTTATTGCAACCTTGCAGATATTATTTTTGCAATTATAATGACAATGAATATTTGGCATCATAAATCTTGATTCTTATTACTATTTCCGCCAAGTGGATGCTTCAATTGCTATGCTTTTGCATATGGACAATTTTAGGTTCCATTTCTTGATAGACTTGTACTTTTATGTTTACCAAACCTGATTCATTCCTTGTAGTTTGGCTTTTTTTCCCCTTAAAGCATTGACTGAAAAATAAGTTTTTTTCCCTAATGTTTGAACCACAATTATTTTGTGGAAATTGGAAAATGCTATTTTATCCAATTGTCTGTCTGTCTGTCAAATTTCGTCTGTTAAGATTAATTAAAAGAACGGATGTCCCTAAACTTTATTGATAACTTGTTAGCATTAGGCAGAATAAACATCAACTGGACAATGTTAGGTTTTTTTTTTGTATTCGTAAAGTTTGTGCTCTTTTCAGTCCTTTTGATACTTCATATCTGTCACTGTATATATATATATATATATCTGAGTTAGAAGATACCTTATTCTTGTATTTGTTTGGATGAAAGTTTAAATTCTAAATTCTAAGAGGTGAAATTAGTTTTTAATCGAGTCCTTGTATCATTGTTGGCTCTTTTGTTTTGATGTACAGGTACCGTGTGTCCTTTTTCTCTCGATGGAAGCAGAGAGGGATGTATGCCACGTGTATGTGGGTTGTGCAACTGCTATTGGTTCTTAGTAAACTGGATTCAGTGTTTATTTACATCCCTGAATTTTACCTTGAAGCTCTGGTAAGTTGGTCTTCCCTTTAATTATGTTATATTTGTCGTTTTCAACTTAAATCAATATAAGACCAGAATCATCTTATGCAATCTAGGTAGACTTGCTGTAAATTGTGTTTATTGCATTTCACAAAAAGGAAATTGTTCTTTCTTTGACCTTTTAAATTTGTTGAATTATGAATACAAGTTTAATGTTTACTCCCTTTGGAAATATATACCACTAACATGTAATCACAGTTTACAAGTGAATCCCAACAACAAATGATTTATTTTCTTATGTATATGGCAAGCTCCTTGAAGCTACATAATGGAACTCAACTGAAGAGTTTTCTTTGTGTTTTTAGAAATCAATGCCTGTGCATGCCAGCAACATATATTCTTCCACAATATATTACCTATTAAATAGAAGTTTCATAGAAAGTATTGAAGAACAGTAAGTTTATTCCTATCAGTTTCCTTTATATCTAATACTGCAATCTAAATATCTAATGGAGCTGTTGTCAGTCAAGCAATACCAACTTGGTGAAAGTACAAAAAAGAATAAAAAATAAAACTAAATAGAGATATTTTTTTTAGAAAGAATTACTTATTTACTTCTAAAAGCCTACTGACGTAATACAATTATTGGAAGACAGTCCAGTGGTGCCCCCTATCCCTGTTAAATTAAGAACTAATCGTGTGGTGAAGAAAGGCAAGAAAAAGAAAAGAGTTTTGAATTAAGTGGCAAGGATACTTTGATTGAAGGGAAGGAAGTGTGGTTTTGGTACATTGAAGATATCTTATCGAGCTGATTTTTTTGGTGATTTTGAATCATGTTGGTACTTTGTGGAGTTCCCTTCAGAGGTGGATGTTTTTGGTTTAATGGTTTTAGGTGTTGTTTTCATGTATGTCATGTCATTAACTGTTGGGATGTTTTCCTTTTGATGGAGGTTTATTTTAGGTATAGGGTGATTGCCTCTAGATTTTTGTGGTCGAGAAGGCGAGAGTTTTAGGTGATTATGTTTTTTGTAATGGCGTTTATCCTCGGTTGAGGGTATTTCGTGTTTTCATATGTAATGGGTGTTTTATTCAATGAAATATGAGGTACTCTTTTCTTCCTTCCAATGTTCGTTAACATACTTCTTAGTTTGTGAACGAATATGAAGGGAGTTTTTAATGAGACCTCCAACTTCTATAAAAAAAAAAAGAAACTACCCTTTCTTTTTAAAAAATCCTTATATTTTGGAAACACTTCTTTAAAGTTTTTTTTTTGGTCTCATATGATGTGTGTAACGCTTTCTTGTTCTATATTCTGCTAATAGAGGACATTTTGGTATGTTTGAATTGGTGTGTAGGCCTTACAAATTATTATTTGGTTTTATGTCTATTTTCCATTTTTTATTTCTTGATTTGTAGTAATTTTTCTGGGTATTGTTTCAGGTCGACTGTTTTCATGTTATGCGTAAGAGTGATCCTCCATTCGTCCCGCCTGCAATATTTATCAAGCAAGGACTTAATACATTTGTATGTTCTTCCAATTGATCTAATATTGTTGTTTGCCAAAGTTTTGGAGTTCTGAATCTTGTTCACCTCGTTATCAACTATTTATTCTCATGAGAGTTCGTTTTGATCAGTTTTTTGCTGGATTTTACCATTTTGGTATAAGTTGAATCAATCTTATACTCCTAAGAATATCGTTTTATAAATGAAAAAATAATTTATTTTGATGAGAGTGTCATAAGCATTGTAAAGGAAAAGTGTCATCTTTTCAATTTTCGTCTGCTCTTATTTCATCTATCCATGTGCTGCACAAAGGAATAGCTCATGAAGTGTAATATGTATGTTTTGCTTGTTTTGGACTTTCTTTTTGTCTAGTCTGCAATTATTTACTGACTTGAGGTTATAAGTCTGTTAAAATATTCCCTGGATAAAGATCAATAATAGTGCATAAGCTATTAACCCTGTTAATGATTCACTTTCTGCTAATTTCCGTTACTTCATTTTAGTAATTGACACTTATCTTGTAACATAAACATGGATATTTCTGTACTGCCTGTTGGTATGGGCATTTGAGTGGAAACACACCTTATTTCTCATATATGGTTGTGTTTGAAGTTGGATTACTTTGATAAAATTTTTAGTCACTATCAACTCCATTTTCCCAGTATGAACATTGTTGATTAGACATTTATAACATGTGGCGTAATATGCATATTGAACTGTTATAATCAGGGTCTAGTCTTTGTTTTTGTGGTTGTTATGAAATTGACTTGCTCTGTTCAATTGCTTTGTTATCTCAGAGTTCCGTAAAGCACACAGCCCTATTGTTTCTGAAATCTGTTGTATATTTTTAACATGTAGCATAAGCTCAAAGAAACGACTTTTTGTATTTTTCTCCTTTGTTCATTCTGAGATGTGATATGAGTTTTTTTCTTTCTATTTTATCAGGTGACATTTGTAGTTACCCATTTCAATGATCCGAGGATATCAAGTGCAGATTTAAAGGATCTTCTGCTCCAGTCAATATCAGTCTTGGTGCAGTACAGAGAGTATTTGGCAGCTTTTGAGAACAATAAAGTCGCCAAACATAGAATGCCAAAGGCGTTATTGTCAGCATTTGACAACCGATCTTGGATTCCAGTTACAAACATTCTTCTACGCCTCTGTAAGGGTTCTGGGTTTGGGTCTTCAAAGCATGGAGAATCCTCATCATCCTCGGTTATTTTCCAGGTGAATAGTGTGAACCATTACTTGTGCGTCTTGTCCATATTCTTTTCATCTGAAATCTCTTTCTTTCTAACTTTTCCCCTACGGGGGCCTATATTTTTATAGAGACTGCTGCGTGAAGCTTGCATCTCTGATGCAGAGTTGTTCTCAGCTTTTCTTAATCGTCTGTTTAACACTCTCAGCTGGACAATGACTGAATTCTCAGTTTCCATTCGGGAAATGCAAGAAAAATACCAGGTATGAATATGCTTTCATTCAAACAAATATCTTCTTTTGTTAGCTCTTTTTGAGGTTCTGTATTCATGCTTCTCATACATATACTATTTCTACCACCAACTTCGAACCTAATTTAGTGGACTTACAATCTTGCATCTTTTCAGACTTGTATATGCATTGTCGACCATTTTTCTACCACATTCAGAAAGTAGACAAGAAGGATAAAATAGAAAAAATGAAAATGGTTACACAAATGTTCCTGAAAATGGCCGGGCAATGCATAGTTCCTAACCATGAAACTGAATTGCTGTTATAAATGCTACTACTTTTCCAGATTGGATCCATAGACTGTAATACTTCTTGTCATCTTTTCGTGTTGCCTTAGTATGCCATGGTCTATCAAACCCAAATACTTAAACGGTTGAATTTATAAACTTGCCTTCTTCTTCCTCTAATTTAATAAAGCAATCTAACATAGGGTTGGTGGTAGTTTAGTTCTACTTGAAAACATAGCTTGGGTTTTTTTCTTTGTATTTCATGGATGGATTGAGATGTACGATGTACAGATGAATGTATGATGATATTGAAGGGCATTTTGGATAAAAGATCTGAGACGACAATGACTGGGGTAGTCAAGGAACTTTATTTTAGGTGAATCATCTGGAAAATATTTCAAATAGAACAAGGAAAATAGTGTTTTTTTGCTAGAAACACTGGTTATTATGAATTCTGGTTGTTCAAAGATGGCCGGATAATATTAAGGTAAAAGAAGTTATCTATGGTGGGTTCCAGTTTGAAGTTTAGTGTTATAGCTTGCTAAAGTTTATCTTACCGTTTCAAATCTCTGAACTTAAACATGGCCTATATATTTGCTATCTAACATCTGCAAGACTGTAAATGACTTTTCCATTACTTAGTCATAGAATTGAAGTTATACTGCTTTCATCACAGGAAAAATGACTTTATTCATATCCTGTATGAGTTAATGGTTATATATTTTGTCAGTATGCAATATAACTGCCACATGTGAGGATCCCATCATTTTCATTTGATTTGAACCCATCTTCCTTAGGACCTGTATTTGATGCGGTAGACCTTTTGCAGGTATTGGAATTTCAACAGAGGAAATGCTGTGTCATATTTGATCTCTCGTGTAATCTCGCAAGGGTATTGGAGTTTTGTACCCATGAGATCCCTCAAGCATTCCTCTCAGGGCCTGATACAAACCTTCGAAGACTGACTGAGTTGATTGTCTTCATTCTGAACTACGTAACATCAGCAGTAGATGCTGAGTTTTTTGACTTGTAAGTTGTTACCTGGCTGATCTAAATTTTATGACTCATTTTTTTCTTCATAAAATTATAATGTATAGTGTCCCGATTACTGTCCACATCAAAGCTCTAATCCGTCGTATAAGGAGACGCAATGTGTTACTCGATTGCTTTTTATAAAGTTGCGTGCTAGACATATGATGAACTTGATTTTTAGATTTTTGTTCCTCATTTTTCTTTTGTGACAAGTTACTTGGACTTGGAAACTAGGTTTTGGTATTTTCAGTATCTCCCCTCCCCCACACGTTTTTCCATTTATTTAAAGAATCTTTCAGGGATCATATTCATATACCCATATTCGAAAATATGTCGGACGCAGGTTTTGGATACAGGTTCTTGTAGAAAATTAGTCGGAGCAAAATAAGTTTTATATTTAAGTCTGCCTCTTTTTTCTTCCACTTAAATATTTTAGTGGACACGTTGAAGAGTTTCAAATTTCAGAGTTTTTCCCAGCTGTTTGAACCGACTAGTCTTACAACTTGGCCTTGTTAATTAGAATATGAAAAACATGGCGCTTCTAAATACATGCTTTTGTTCTTTTTACTGACGTTATCGGTATTTTCTATTAACAGGTCACTTAGACGGCATGGTCAATCTTTAGAGAAAGTAAACAGAGGCATGATACTAGCCCCTTTAGTAGGGATCATTGTGAATTTGTTGGATGCTAGCACGGACTCCGAATTCAAGGAGCAGAATGATGTTGTGGATGTGTTTGCAAACATGGATTGCCCTGAAACAATGCATTATGGTTTGCAGTACATGTTAGAGTATAATTGGGTTAGTACTTTTAGCTCTAATATCCCCAATAGTTCATCTTTCTTTTTGCTCCACGCATTTGATTGTATTTGAGACGGGGATAATTTTTCTTTTCGTATCAAGGTTTCTTCTATTCAGTCTTGATTCATTTACACCTTCATTTTGCAGGGTACATCTTTTAGGGGAGAAGCCTACGTGCCTAAACTTTGTTCACTAGAGAATTTCTTGACACTCCTCATCAGCCATAGTGATTCGAAGAAGATTGAGGGACTTGAATGTGGAGAAACCGATGCTGAGGATGGCACGTGCTGCATTTGTTATGCCTCGGAAGCCGATGCAAAGTTCGTACCGTGTTCCCACAGATCTTGCTATGTGTGCATAACGAGACATCTCTTAAATTGTCAAAGATGTTTCTTTTGCAATGCCACTGTGTTGGAAGTAGTCAGAACCATAGAGAATACAGTTGAAAGATGAGAATCTTAAATTGTTACGGAAAATGGGGAAGAGAAGGTGAAAAAATTAGGGTTTTGGTTTTTGTTGTTGTTCATATATTCCGTATGCGTTTTGTTGTTGTTAACTATATTGATATGTAAGGTGGGATGGAGCAAGTCCGGGGGGTTTGAATCTCAGCACTGTGCAATCAATCAATCCCTTTCACAAACCTCAGGCTGCAGTTTCATTACGAATTTTGTAGGTTGAGGGCATTATTGTGTAAATATGAGAGATGTAAATGGCAAGGAAAATTATATATATATAAAGAAATGAGTGGTATTTTTGTCTCAGCACAATCCCAAATAGCACAAGAGTGTTCCTTTGTTGGAACTTTATTAACATTTGGTTCATGTACCCTTTGTTCTCAAGGAACCTCGGATTGTCCTTATCCCAATATGACTTTTGGCCTTTTCCATTTTCTAATCTCAATAACTTCATTTAAATAAATTCGGTTATAACTAAAAATGTTATTAAGAGCGTAAATTTTTATGTTGAATGTGGTCACATTTTGGGTTAAACATCTTTTTTGTGACAATTTTTGTTGTAATTGAAATTATTATAAATTAGGATAAAGAACGCAAATAGTCCCCCGATTTTAGGTATTATTTTATTAATTCCATCGACTATATATAAGTTATAAAATGGTCTTTTGATTATAAAGAGTTGTTTGGTTGAGTCCATCGATTATTAGAAGTTACAAAATGGTCACTTCACTATTCATCTTATTCTAAACTAGTCATTTTTCTTTAAAAAATAGATTATATTATGAGATGAATGTTAACTTGTTGATTGTGATATGATAAAATTTGATTCTAAAATCTCAAACGACTATTATATCCAATCATCATGTTAACATCCAACTTAAACAACTGTCATTTTTTTAACGAAAAAAGATGAGTCTGAAGCATAATGAATAGACGAGGGTCTTAAGAAAGTAATACTCCATAGTCAAAGGATCATTTTATAACTTTTAATAGTTAAATGACTTAATAAAATAATATTATATAGTAGGGGCTATCTACATTCTTTACCCTATAAATTATATAATTTTTTCTATTGTAAATCTTTAAACCACTGTATATAATATTTTCAATTGTAAGTAAAAATTTTATAAATGTATATAATTTTTTTAGTTAAGTACGATAATTAAAATTTGTTTAATTAGTTTTAATTTCTTTTATATTATGAATAATTATAAAAATTTTGGAAAATTTCTCTATTAAGAGTTTGATTATATGTTTAGAAAGAAGCCCCGTATCCGAAACAAGGAAACGCAGAAAGAAGAAAAGAAGGCCCTGATTTTATCGCCTCAGTCTCTGCAACTATTTCCCTCGCCGTTCAAGCAGAACTCCTCACTCAGCCTGACCCAATCATGTAATATTCCAACCCGACCCATTTCACGAATTTCTTGCGCCGCCCGACCCAGAAGGAAAACTGGTTCTTCAAGAGCCGAGGACAACGAAGCCAAGGAACTGGTTCGGGTGTTAATGCGAAGAATCAGCGACAAAGAGCCGCTGGTTAAGACGTTAAGCAGATACGTTTGAGTTGTGAGCTGCGACCACTGTTTTCTTCTGTTTGAAGAGCTCGGCAAATCTGATAAATGGCTTCAATGCCTTGAGGTTCGTTCGTTTGTTTCTGGTTCATTTTAGGGTTTAGGGTATTTCGAATTGCGTTTTTGGGGTCTTTTCTCATATGGATTTTTGTCAAAACATTGAAATTCGAAAAACTTAAAACTTGAAGTTCGAGTCTTTCATATTCATATGTTTGATGGAACTTAATGACGAAAGTGTTTGATATTCGCCTGAATTATGGCAAGCTCAATTAGATACAGGGCCGTTGCTGATGGTTGAACTAAATCTGTTTTAGTTTCCTGTATATGTATACTGTGTACCTTTCAGGTTTTCAGATGGATGCAGAAACAACGGTGGTACATTGCCAATAACGGAGTTTATTCGAAATTGATTACGGTTGTGGGAAAGAAAGGCCGGACTAGAATGGCGATGTGGCTCTTCTCCGAGATGCATAACAGTGGTTGTCGGCCTGATGCTTCTGTTTATAACGCCCTTATCACGGCCCACCTCCATTCCCGTGATAAATCGAAAGCTTTGATCAAAGCTCTGGGGTACTTCAACAAGATGAAGGGAATGGAGCGGTGTAAACCCAATGTTGTCGCTTACAATTTCTTTTGAGAGCCTTTGCGCAAGCTCGGAATGTGGATCAAGTTAGTACTTTGTTTGAGGATCTCGCTGAGAGCAGTATTGCCCCTGATATATACACGTTTAATGGCGTGATGGATGCATACGGGAAGAACAGAATGATCAGAGAGATGGAGTTCATTCTTTCTCGGATGAAAAGTAATCAGTTTAAGCTGGATATTATCACATTTAACTTGCTTATTGATTCTTATGGGAAGACGTAAGAATTTGATAAGATGGAACAAGTGTTTAAGAGCTTGTTGCGGTCTAAGGAAAGACCTACTCTCCCTACGTTTAATTCGATGATCATAAACTATGGCAAGGCTCGGCTTAAAGAGAGACCAGAAAGTAAGATGACTGATATGAAATACACACTGAGCTTCATCACGTACGAGAGTCTTGTAATGATGTATGGTTTTTGTGACTGTGTTTCTCGGGCGAGGGAAATATTTGATGGGATTGTCGACTCCAGAAAGGAAATAAAAGTTTCAACCCTCAATGCCATGCTTGAAGTTTACTGCATAAATGGTCTACCTATGGAAGCCAATAGGCTATTTGATAATGCAACTAACATTGGGGTGGTTCCCGACTCGTCGACATACAAACTTTTATACAAGGCCTACACGAAGGCCGATATGAAAGACCATGTGCAGAAGTTAGTGAAAGATATGGAAAGAGACGGAATAGTCCCTAATAAGAGGTTCTTCCTAGAGGCTCTTGAAGCTTTTGGATTTTTACCATCTAATCCAGGTTCTGTTCAAGCCACAAGGCGTGGCAGGCCTGAGTCTAATGCAAAAACTGCGGTTAATTTAATTAATTGATTGGTTTGTTTATTCTTCGGGTCTCCTTCCAACTAAGCCTGATCAGAGCAACAGATGGTTTTTGGTTTTGACTAAATTGCAGCACCGGTCGACTGTTCCCCCCCTCCCCCACAAAATGCGGCATATGTCTCCGATTTTTCTCTTGTTTTTTATGCTTATATGGTCAATCTGTACTTGATTTTCCATTTAGAAGGTGCAATACTATTCAGCAACTTGTCAACAAAGATAGCAGATTTAAGTACATATATCATGTGTTCGATCTGCATCTCATTGCATCAGTAGTTAACAAGACATTTAGCATCCTTTCAATATAGGATCCAGTTGGAACCTTGTATGCCTGTAAAATCGTGTTTTTTTTTTTATCAGTGCGGTCTGTTTCGTTGTGTGAAAGTTTATTTTTCAGACATCTTCGATGGAAATTAACAGGATTAGTTTCTATCATATTTTAGGGTAACAAACCAAATCTCCGTTCTGGTTTAATCCTAATTCAGTCCGTGTTCGGAGGCGATAAATGCAGAACATTGCTCGGATCATAGGCTTTATCCATACATCAGTTGTAGTGACAGTGTTCGGGCATTCTATCTTTCTTGAATAATAAGCAGATAATTAACATCGACTCTTCATTTTTTTTTATTTGTTTAGAGTATGCGAATAAGACTGTTTTTGTCTAAATTGTAATTCTACATTTGTATTAACTTATAATTTCATATTTTTTAAAGATAAATTTTCTATTTTCGGAGGCTTATATGTATAAATTGTAATTTTATAATTTTTATGAGATTAAAGGATAATTTTTCTACTTTGGGGTGCCAATGCCCCTACCCAAGTCCAAGTAGTTGGGCATTAGCGGCAATGACTTGCGTGTGCTCCTCTATTTTAGTTATTTTGTTATTAATAAAATATCTTATATTTAATTTTCAAAATAAATAAATTCTTCCTACTCATGATATGAGAAATAAAGAAAAATCATATAAAAGTATATTTTATAAAATTTATCAATAATATTCTCCGTGGAAATGGAATTACAGTTATTTATGTAAAATAAACCTAATATATAAGAATTTTTGTTTTTATTTAATTAAGATGTCGTTAACGGTTAATAGATTAGGTATCTAGCAGTTAAATATTTTAGTATAATCACAAATTTGATTTATGCTATTTAAATATTCTCTCAATTTAATCATGCTTTTAAACATTAAATAAAATAATCTTCCAATCAAATGGTGACATGTGGCACAAAAACGTGGTACTAGTGACACATTTATAAATTTGGTAAATGTAGATCCTATATTCATATATTTAAGAAGTTGATATAATGCACAAAACATTAGTGAAAATTGATTAAATAAACAACTTCCCCCAATGTAAAATTAACTACTCATATGTACACCATCTCAGATCTCTCTGTTCTGCTTCAAAAGGAAGAAAGAAAAAATGTAGGCAATTATGTTCACAATAGCATTTACCAAGAGATGCCTTTGTATGAAGGAAAAACCAAGTGTTGCAGTGATCGGCAAACATCGTGTATGTAGGAGGATCTTCAACTGTTTAATGCCTATGCAGGTTCACGAGGACAAGAAGACCATAGCGTACTCAAAGCTCGAAGACGTTCGAAGTATTCGCCCAAAGCGAGTAAGCCTCGAGCCGTCTGTCGAGGCGTTAGGATTCGAGACATCTGCTGCAGCGTTTCCTGCCGAATGTGGTCTGCCTGTGAAAGATACGGACAGACACTACGACTTCAATGGTGTACCTTCACAGAAATTATGAGTCCGGAACATGGGGATGAGGTTATTGTTTACCTGGTTCACGAAGCTGACTAGAGCTTCTACCTTTTCCATTGCAGTATTCACCTGAGAACTGTAACTACCTTCCCCCAGTTGACCATCCGCCACGGTCACCGACACGAGTTCTCGTAGTTTCTCCATGCCTTGTGAAAGCGCATCTTCAGCTTGCTGACATGATTGTTTCAGGTTACAAACGTCAAAGAATTGTTGTTCTGTCAAGGAATCAAGCTGAGGCAAGAGCACCTATAAATCAACATAACAACCAAATGTTACTCCACATGTAACAACCAGAATTCCAATCAAAGTTACAAGAAATCTATGACACTTAGACTCAAACACGAGTGTTAGGTTTTAGATTATATAGGATACAAATATGTTGATGTTTTTTTCCTTCTTTTTTACTAATTTAAAAGCAGTTTAGATCCTTGGTTTTTGATGGGATAAAATAATACGGTCAGTTTAAAAGGGAAAGTAAAGTCTGAATATGAATCACCTTAAGAAGCTCTGAGGGGCGAAACCCTCCAATCCAAGAGAAAAATTGCTCAGCAGATGTTTTCCACATGCCAGACATCACATAGAACACATCAGCCTTTGCAGCAGTTGATTTCATGCGAAATAGTTCAGAATAATGGTTCATGCCGGTTTCCACAAGCATCCCAAGTTCTGCATCACTTATTTGGGTATTCAAAGCAGTCCTCAGATCAGATATTTGTTTGCTTTGTTCCTTCATCCAATGCCCGTATTCTGTCTCAAATGCAGCAATCCCTGCAAAATCCCCAAAATGAAGTTATCTAAAACATCAAACACCAAATATTTGAACCCATTAAATGTCCTTGGTGGTAAAAGGGATTGTTATTCTCTATGGAATTCTCGGGTTCAAACAGTTGCGTTTGCAGTGTGTGCACATTTTTAATGATAGAATCATAGAGAACATAATATCAGCTGCTTTGAAATGACATATGTTATGGTTCGCAAGTAATAACAATAACTGCCAGTGTATTTACAAACAAACCTGAGTTTGATGGTGCAGAAAATCCAAGGTTACCATATACTACCCCGCCACCCATATAAACACGCTGCAATATTGTTTAAAATGGATTTAAACATTTTTCAAACTAAGGAAAAAAAAAAGGAATGGGTATTAATCTCATTCAAAAACCTGTTGCTTCATTTGTGCAAGCTCTTGCTCCAATTGAATCAGCTTTAAACGACTATTTTCTAGCTGTTGAACATAAGCCTGAAATGCAATGTTATATGAAGTTAATTACAACGATTCACATGTGGTCTTGACCTCTATCTGTTGCTATTCATGACCATATCATATCCTACCTTTTTCCGCAATCGGCTTTTACGAGCAGCCTCACGGTTTTGTGCAAGCCGTCTTTGTATCTATAGATATTTACAGTAAAATGCACAAAGAGATTAGACCTGTTATTTAAGGTAAACAGACGATCTGCAAACATAAAAAAGTTAGCAGCTATAAATCATACTGCTTTTGAAAAGTAATGAAAATGTTCGAATCAGAACTATATCAGACGGAGATTATATGGAAATAATAATGTGTGCATGCATGTTTTCTCTTCCTTACATTAAATCAATTATTTTCACTGTTCCTAAATCAATTTATCTTCATTAATTTTCATGATTTTTAGCAGGAAAGATGAGACTAATAGCTCCAAAAGATGATCATTCTGCAATTTGCACGAGTGAAATTAGACTAATAGCAGAAAAGATGTTGATCATACAGCATGTGATCCAGGAAAATATTTTATCCACTAAAATGAGAAATAAAAATGAAAAAAACAGCATCATGTATTATTCAAACTTACCTTCTCTATAGGTTTAGTTGCTTCTTGATCATACTTGTTAGAAGGTGCAAGCATCTCGTGTGAAGCAGTTTCAGACTGGAAAAATTCAAATAACAAAGGTTACTTATCACCAAAATCAGAAAAACTTATTAAATAATTGATCAAAAAATAGTATACCCGAAACTCGCACCTTGTTCGGTATCTTGTTATCCACTTCGACAATCATTGACACAGATGCATGCAGATGGCTATCAGTATCAAAATTTTCTTCCCACATACCAATCTGTTGAATAGGATCATAGATATCCATCTTTCTTGAAGGTCCAAACTGCGATTCCATGCTTCTTGAATCGAAATCGGAGGCAGCTTTCGCATAAGTTGAATTGAAAATGGAGTCTGAAAGGAACAATACATGGGCATGTATGAGCTTTACTCCACGAGTAAAAAGGACAGGTGTTGTAGCAAACAAGTGGTAAACAACAGAGAAAATTGTAAAATTTAATAGGTAAGCCTTCCACAAAAATGAATAAACAAAAGGAATCCATGGGAAATTTTACATATCCTGATTTGTTAGGCAATTGAATCAGCCTCAATGACCTCTAAAACCCAGCATAAAGTTCACTAAAAGTATAAAAGAAATCAATAAGAGTGAACTAGTTCTGCCATGGAACTCAAATAAGCATCGAATCAAAGAATTTTGATCTGCTAACCACCAAAAAAATGAAATCAAAACAACTGTTTCGATCTAAAAATCGATCTTACAGTTTCAAGTTCAAAAGAATCATTTAAAATCTCCAACAATCATCAACCTTGTGACTATTTACTGTCTCCAAAATATATATGTTTGTTTGTTCATCCCTCTGGTTTCTCTCTTTGACTAGCTTTTGGAGATAATGTCGAATACGGGCATGCATCCAACATGGACTGGACTCTAGTAGTTTAGATAAAATGAAAAAGTGTGGGACTCTGAGAAACATAATTCAAAAGTAAAGTTGACTTTACCACCTTAATCTATTTCATTTTTGCCACTAGTAGCTGCTGAAAAAGTAACTTGATAATAACCTTTCAAGTTACTTAATACTTTGAAACTGCAGTTAGACACTTCCATACGAGCTTAGCAAATAAGGACGATAAATTTATGGTGAACGAGCACTGATATTCTATCTAACTTCACATGTTCATACTGTTTATTTAGTTCCATAAGAGAACAACAAATGAATAGAAATCAAGTTGAATTCAGTGGTTTATAAGAAAACATGGTTCTTTTAGTGTAAAGATAAGAATGAAAAAGTGAAAACCCAATCATGACATCCCTATTTTCATATCATTATCGACTAGCCAGCCCACTGTTCCCATTGTTGGAGCTCACTGCTAAACTTGTCCCTAGTTTTTCATGGTGGACACAGACAAACGCAAAATTTTATGTTAGAACTTATAAAATTTTAGAAAATACAAAGGAAATACATAAACTATATGGGAAGTTGAAATTTTCATGGACCTATTTGCTATGCTGGTCGGACTTGAATACAAGTATCCTAAGTTTTCCATGAATTTGGAGAGTTGGAACAGTAAGTCAAACAAAGATATTGGACACAAAATAGTAAAAAGGAAGAATTGGAGCAGCATAGCCTTTTCGTAGTACGATGACGAGATATTCTTCCATAGGACCTTTCCTAATATGCGCAAATCATTTAACGAAACTTCCGGGGAAAAAGAAAAGGTTTCATCTGCTACAGATGAACACAAAAACAAACCCAGAAAAAAGCCACGCAAATGAATCTGGATGAGAAAGGATTCGAAAACATCGAACCGATACATTAAATAGAAACAGATAAAAGAACATCAGAATCCAAAACAAATAAGATTATAATCATAATCAATATTTATTCAATCTGTTTTCACCTCAGAATTCCAAACAATTCAGAATAAATCAAACCAGCCAGCCAACAGCAACAGATGAAAATCAATTACAGAAACCACTCTTTATTCCAAAAAAATAGTACAAACACATGTGCTGAGAGGAAGAACCGTTGTTTTAACTCAAATAAGATTTTGCGTATTAGTGTTTTCTATCGATTTTCCTCCAGCTTTCCCGGCAACCAAACACCAACCAAACCAGTAAAAAGAAACAAACCTTTAGTTCGAAGCGTCGTTACAACAAGTTTCCAGCGAAAATTGAGCTCCAAAAACAGCAAAAAAAAAAATTCCCTGTTGAAAACAAAGGATCACTAGCTATCTTCTTCTTCTTCTCCTTTCAAACTGATCGCATCTTTCTCCTTTTTTTTATTTTTTTTTATTTTGTTATTACCGTAATGCGATTAACCCGAGTTCCAGTTTGACTTAAAATTTTAATATTGATTCGTTTACAGAATTTCATTGGACTGTCCTGTTCTGCATCCAAACCTTTCAGCACTAATCAATAATTCAAAATCTAATCAAAATTTATAAAATGGAATTTGAATTGTTTCTTCCCCATTACACACTACAATATTAACTGGATTCTTATACGCCAATATTTTATATTTTTTCTCATACCTACTTTTTAAATTATTAATTTTGCCTTTGTATCATCTTGATCCACAGTGAATTTATGCAGTAGCGTATTCATTAACCATTTTTTAGGAGAATATTTTTTGTCAATCAAAAAGGTAAAAAAAGCATCAGAGGTCCTTTACTTATAAAAAAAATCAATGTGGTCCTCATATTATTTTTTCTTTCAATGCGATCCTCTAACTCAGAAAACAAACCCAATGTGACCCTTTGACCGACGTCAGCATTATGAATTAGCACATCAGTACTGTAATGATCAACGACGAAAAATATTAGTCAAAGGACTACATTAGATTTGTTTCCAAAGAAAATAGTTATTGATTACCATTTTTCCACAAAAATAAATTTGTCATATTTCCACTAGCGCTGCTTATTATATTATCCGACGCAACTTTCCTCCTTTTGACCTACGCGCGCCTTTCTTGCGTGTTGCTCACAATCAATTAATTAAATTAAAAATTAATTGAAGGAAAAACAGAGGGAAGGGGAGAAAAAGAAATTGCTGGTACAACCAAAGACTATTAATTAGTTAAATAAAAATCAGGAATAAAAAATAAATTCCATTTTATTTAATTAGATGTTTGGTGAACCAAATTAATGGTTAGTTGATTGTACACCCCTTCACATCTTCTTATAAAATTATAGATTATCCAATGATAAAATTATATTTTAATTTAAACATAAATTAAAGACTTTCTAACTTCTCCTTTTGTGTGAACTAAAGAACAATAGAGATGATAGGGTAATTTAGTATGAATTAATTACTTTAAGTTAGGCGATAGGATCAGAACTTATACCAAGTTGGCTTAAGGCATAAACCCACATTTTCTTATACAATAGAATATAGAAGTTTCTTCGGAATTTGAACTCACTTTAGCATTTATCCATATCTTACTTTAATATAATAATTTTTAGAAAATATCAAACACCCAATTTCAACTTTTTTTATTTACTCCTATGACTGTGGTTTAGGGGGCAATTTGTATTTGTTAATACAGAGTGTTGGTAAAATTATTCTTTTAAGTAAGGTAAATGTTACGATATTAATTGAAAGTTATCGATATCACTTAACGCGTTTTGTGAGACACAACGTCTTTCAACGTTATCTCTTGTGTTTATCTTCTTTGTCTTCTCAAGCTTCATCAATGGCAACCTTATGCTCCAATATATGCCACCAAAATCTTTAAAAAATCGTTCAGTTCACCATCTCCGACCAGTTTTTCTGCTAATTCAAGGACATCAACAATTACATCACACTTTTCGCGCCCAGTGTCATGCACGAAGGTTGAGAAGATGCCAAATCTTTCATGCGCGGGGCCGGAATAAGATTTTTTATTAGGGTCGAATTTTTAAAATTTAAAAAATGAACGAATTTATAAAATTTTAGGTGTGATAATAGATTTTCAATATAAAATACATTAAAAAAATTTAAAATATATAATAATTTTAAATTTTTAGGTGGTGACTACCCCATCCACTCTTCGATCCATTCTTATTCATGTGTCTTCATGAAGACGTCAAGTGATTTATACGTCTTCTTCGATCCACTATAAAAATCACTCTACTTGAAAAAAATAGTCGGATGGTATCCTTACTGTGGAAATTTTTCTCATCTCATTATTTGGGTATTTTATCTATGGTTTTCAGAACCGGATCGATTAGCGAACCGACCATGCTACCGGTTCACTGATTCAACCGGTCGAACCAGTCCGATCGGTCGGAAGAACCGGACGACGTCATAATTATTTAAAAAATTAAATAAAAATACCAAAAATATTTAATAAAAAATAATTTTTTATATCACAATTCATATTCAAAGCAAGTCATAACATATATAAGTTAAAAACTATAAAATCAAGTGAAACAAAATGATTCAAATTAACTACAACATAATATTTAAGGTAAACCATATTAAATAATAAATATAATTATATAACTATAATTAAAAAATAAATTTGGGGCTAAAAAATCATAACAAAATGATATTGTTTGGTTTAATTTTTTTTTAAAAACAATCTCACATGGCTAAGAAACATAGAAGATCATCCTAACTAACTTCTATAAATAATAGAGGTAATTTGACATTCAAAATTATTGAGCCTTTTGGTAAGCATTGAGTGAACTATTCTTTCACTTCAATCAAGCTCGAATTTTAGGCTTCAATCGAGCTTCTAATTTTTTTTTGAGTTCAAGCGTTTTTCGAGTTCAAGTTTCAATATTATATTTCGAGTTCGAGTTAAACTTCATAATTTTTAGCTCGTGACTTTGAATCGAGTTGAGCTTACTTTTAAATTTTTCAAGTTCGAGTCGAGCTCAGCAATACTCGAGTTCGTCTTGGCTCGTTTAACAAACGACGTCGTTTGGTTTAATTTAAAAAAAAAAACAAAATTGACTGTTTTTTTCGATTTTCTCCGATTTTCAGCCGGTCTGGTTTGAACGGTTCAGCGGTTCTGACCGGTTCACTAGTAACGGTTCAACCGATCTAGATTGAATCGGACTAAACAACGATTCTCGGTTGAACCGGCCGGTCCGGTCAAGTTTTCAAAACAATGATTTTATCATGGTTTAAGTAAAGTCTCAATTAAAGCAGTCACAAATGCAAGCGTAACTCAAGGAAGGCACGAACATTTGAATTATTTTTATTAATCGTTCATTTTATTAAGAATTATGTAATTATCTAAATTTAATTTAACCTAATATATGAATGTATTTTTTAAAAGATTGGGTAAAGTACACTAATGGGTCCCTTGACTATATGGTAATATTTTGTTGAGTCTCGTGATTATTAAAGATTACAAAATGGTCCTCATCTATAGTGTGTTGCTTTGTTATGTTCCCTTACTATTAAAAGTTACAAAATAATCACTCGACTATTCATATCTTTCAAACTTTTTCTTTTCTATTAAAAATCGATGCTAATCTAAGATCGACGTTAACTTGTTGACTGAGATATGATAAAATATGATCACAAAATCTCAAACGACTAGCATATATCATCCAACATGTTAACATCTAACTCAGACGACCGCCAATTTTTAACGGAAAAGGATGAGTTTGGAACATATGAGTAGTCACGTGATCATTTTATAACATTTAATAGTCGATGAACTCAACAAAGCAACACCCTATATTCAAAGGACCATTTTGTAACTTTTAATAGTTAGAAGACTCAACAAAACATTATCCTATAGTTGAGTGACCATTCTTGTACTTTACCCTTTAAAATTTAATGATTTTAATTTTTTCCTGAGATTTTAATAATTTTAATTAAATATGGAAGGAGTAACAAATCCAGTTTCCCATTCTGGGGGACAATTGCAGTCCATTTCTCATGGCAATAATTACATTCTATGCAAACTGATTAGCAAGGCTGCATAAATAGTACGGTATATTTGTACAAAGCTTTTCAAAAGTTTCTTCACTTCGCCTCTTTTTTATTTTATATATTTACACCTTAGAGTTAATTAATTTAACATATTCATTTCAAGGTTGATTCATCTATTTGATTTTATTTGATTTTTTTTAAAGAAAATAGTTAAAAAATAGTGAGTACCATAAATATATATTATAGTGACGATTTTCTTAATCGAGTTTTTTTCCATTCACAATATTAAAGTTCATATTGATAATTATGGACATGTGCGTATAATATATAATGTAATAATAAATCATGATACAAAATTAAATGACCAATTATATTATATGTACTAATTAAGTGACTACACAAACTCATAGTTGATGATGTGTTTATTATATATTGGACTTAATAAAAAGTGTTCAAATTATATCTCTTTTTTCATTTGAGTGTCTAAACTTTTTTTCGATCAATGCTTGTGTCTAACGTTACCAACATTATTATTTTAAGTGCCTTTATCATAATAGACATTAAAAAATCCGTTAAAAATCAATCAACCATTCAAAATGTGACAGACACACGACATATTTATAATTTTTTAAAAAATTTATTTTAAAAAAATTTAAAATTATTATTATTCTAAGAAACCTAAAATTTTTCTAAAATCTCAAAAAAAAAAACTTAAAAGCATCAACCCCACTCGTCGGTCATCCCTCACCATTGTTGTCCCTGCCAGTTGCCTACCCACCTGTCATTGATCGTCATCTGTAGTCTCAATCTCCAAAATCTCAAAATCTCATATCATATTATTTTTTAAGTCAAGTGACCATTTTGTAAATTCTCATAGTTAGAATACTTAACAAAAAAGCATCCTACAATCAAAGGACTGTCTACATATTGTACCCTATTATTAAATCATGTATGGGTGTCAAAAGATGCGTGTAGAGTTATAATGATAGTTGGGTGGTGCAACATTCCAATGGTCGGTTGATTCCTTAGTGATTATTCTATTTATAGTTGTTTGGATAATGCGAAAATGAGAGAATAGAGTCACCCAAACATATTGATATTTCTTTTTCTAGTGCATTTTGAAGTTGGTTTCCACTAAGGATGGCTAGTGTTGGTGTAATTCTTATGAACATTCTAACCCTCAAAATTCCCATAAAATAAATTATTGATGCTCTCATTGACATACCATACATAATTGGATGGGACAACTTTCAAACAAAAATCATGAATTATGGGTCTTAAAAGTTTTTGGATCATTCAACTTGTAAAATTGTTTTTAATCTTTAAAGTCTGGTTTGGTATTAAATCAACTAGTTTGTTTTAATATGAAATTGAAAAGGTTTTCATGCCAAAATTGCATTAATCTATGATGAGAGAAATTAGTCTTAATCTCAAATGACACATTTAGTACCTAAACTATCAGTTTTGATCCATTTTAGTAACTTCAAAATTAGAGGTGGGTATACGGGCTATCCGCCCGTTTAGCCCGCGGGCTTTGACGGTGCGGGCTTAAACGGAGCGGGCTAAAAAGCCTGTATTCATAAACGGTTTTGAATTTTTAAGGCCCGCGGCCCGTTTAATAAAAATAATTTTAAATGCTTTAAATGCAATAAAAAATAATGTTTTAACTTACTACACGTTTAAAAATGATCGAGCAACTTGAAAAAGAAGGTAGCACCGTCAAAATAATAAATAATATTTAAATTATATTTTAAATAGCCAGAAATTATTATAAAATAATATTTTTTTTAAATTTTTTAATCATTAATATATATATAATGATATAATTACTTAAACTCAAATTAAAAAAAAATATTCACTTATATCACCAAATTGAAAAATAAATAAAACAATAACCACATTATACTTTTATAAAACACGATTATTCAAGGCTATAATATGAAGACACATAAGTGTCTGAAAGTAGAAATTCAAACATAAAAATTCAACAAAGTCAAACATTATACAAATCTAACAAGAAAGTTGTCAAGTGTTCCTAATAATTGTATTTTATGGATACTTTAGAGAAATACTAAAACATAATATGAAAATATAAAATAAAATACTTACAGTATAAGAGTAAATTTGAAAGATACAATTATACTAAAATTGATAAAATATAAGTCATTAATTTGTTAAAATATAATTATTTTGTACAAGTCTTTAAAAGTTGAAAAATATGTTTTCAATTTTTCTTTTACTTTTCTTTCTTATTTTTAATCCAAATATTATATGTCATGTGATATATTATTAGAATATCACGTGACTTTTTATAATTAAAGAACAAAATGGATAACATACTTCATGAAAAAAAATAAAGATCAAAATTAAATAAAAAAATCTTTAAATACCAAAATGATAATGATGTATATTTAAATGAAAAAATATCAAGCAACGGTAAAATTATGACAAACACCCTAATAAATTTAAGAATTACAATAGTTATAAGTAACATCATATTTATAGGTAATTTATTTTCTTTTTCTATAAAATTCTTTAAGTTTATTTTCTCTAAAATTTTATAAATTTTAAATTAAGCGGCCTTTAGCGGGTTTAACGGGTAGCCCGCGGTTATACCCATTAAACCCGCGGGTTTAACGGTCCGGGCTAAAAAAAACCCGCAATTTAAACGATCTTCAATTTTTGAGGCCCGAAGCTCGCACGGATCGCGGGTTAAATGGGTAGCCCGCGGGCCTTAGCCCATATACCCAGCTCTATTCAAAATCATACTAAAGTTTTAATTTTTGTTTCATTTTAATATCACTATTCAAAATTTAACGTTAAGTTTTGACCAAAAAAATTGAAACTTTAGGTACTAAAATGGACCACAACTGATAGTTTAGGTACTAAATGCATCAAGTTTTTAACGGTGGGGCTACTAAAATGAAACAAAAACTAAAAGTTATGTATGATTTTGAAAAAAAATTGAAAGTTTAGATACTAAAACATACCAAAACTAATAATTTAATTACTAAATATGTAATTTACCCAAAAATCAAAGCTTTCTATGTGGAGTGAGTGTAGGATTGTGGACCATTCTAAAAGTATTGATCTTAACAATTTTAAACCATGAACCACTAACAAATCATAAAATATCAATCATTGCTACTACTTCTAAATAACTCTAATATAAATATTATTTTAATAGTTTAGGGTGATTATACTTTAGTATAGGTTTAGAATTTTTTTATTTATTGATAATGTACATATATTTTTATATATAACTATTCGAACTCAAATCTTTTAAGTAAAATAATATTTTTTTTTATCACTAAAATCATTAAAATATCATTATTTGTTTGTAGGGAAATGAAAAAGGGTTGGCTTTACCTACCTACAAACTATATAATATAGTTTAGTATTCAAGTTGCATCCTTGATTGTAAATAAAATTAGCTAACCATTATTCTCATATATAATGGGGTAAGGGGTAGTAGGCTGCCCCCAACATCAAGTTAAGAACCTTGTGTTCTATCAACTGAGCTTGATGGTCATTTTGGTAATTATAATATACTATTTTTGTGTTTGATTTTGCAAACCTTTGAATCATCCTACACGTCATGCACCATTATTATTGTTTTTTAAAAATATTAATCATAGACTCTTTGTGGAATGATGATGATATTCGATCATTAGAAACGAGATTTGTGTAGGTTTAGATGAGGTTCACAAATTGGAAAATATGTTGGAGGCGTTTCTTGGATGAACCAAATCCCATTCCTTCTGGATTTGTGTGTTAACCAACCTTTACCTTGTTGATGAGATCATATTATTTGATTTACTATATGCTAAAAATGTATCAAATATGAAGCATAGCTTTTGTTGTACAAGTAAAAATAGTACACATTACTAACGATCATTTGATCTAATGCAATGAAATATCAAATTTCTTAAATAAGATTAGGAGTTTAAATTCTGACGTATGCGAACTAAGATAATTAAGTTGAAAGAATTACTGTATATTGAAACTCTGTAGTACTTAATCTAAATTATATGATTGATTATAAAAAAGCATAGATTTTAATTAGTTGTGTTCTTGCACTCTCAATGTAAGCTTCTCCCCCTCCCCTGTACCATTAATGGTGTTATTATTTGAATTAATATATATATATATATATATATATATATATATGCAAAAAAATAATTTTATTAATTTAATGTAAGTATAAGACAACATCTGTTTAAAGATAATTCTCAATCATTTGATATTGAACGCTCACACTCCTGACATTCATGGTGGCATTAATGGTGCTCGAACCAGATACCTCATGGAATAAAACATTTGCTGTAAAAAAAAGTTAGTTGGTCTAATGGAATAATACATTATATTTTTTAAGTAAGATTAGAAGTTCAGGTCCAGACAATTATAAATGAAATAAATTTAGTTAGAAAAATTATACATATAATAGACTTTTGTAAAATCTGATGTAGATTAGTAAATTAAATGTTAATTAAAAAAATGTTTTATACTTGCTCGTTATATTGTTTTCTATTTTTTAATATAATATAATCACCTTGATAATAATAAGAAAATGATTGTTTTCCTCCCATGGACCTGATTTGTAACCCAAATTAGGGCGTAGTTGGGTTGGGGTTTGGACTCTGGGCTGAACTTCAAAAAAAAAATCAAATATTAGATTTTGGATATTCTATTATTCGAGTTAGTTATCTTCATTTATTCAGAAATATATATTTATATATTGAAATGTGATATCAGTTTAGTTAGTTTTTTTTAATATTTTTTAATATTAATTTAATAAAATCATATATTTGATAGATTTGAATATTTTACGAATGTTATATTTGATTTAGAAGTAAATCTAGTAATAATGTCGAATGGATTTTAGTTTATTAATATTATTATTGGTGTAATATATAAGAGAATGTGATTTCGAGTACATTTAAACGTATATTATTCTTTGATTTATGGGTGGGAAAGGATTTAGATAGTCTCTTTCTCGAAAACCTATTTATTATTATTTTGTATCTTTGATTTTTTTTTATATTTATTAAACTGTTGGGTATACTCAGAGATGGACAATTGACTTGAATTTGATGAATTTTGGTTTAATTTAATAGGATTAGAGTTTTGTTTGAAAAACAAGTTTGAGTTTTTTCTTAAGAATAAATTCGAGTTTAAGTTTAGGGTGAAAAAGTCAAATCTGATTCGACCCGAGAATAATAATATCATTGACTTTTATACATTTTGAGACAAATTGCTATAATATCAATCTCTTTATATTTTTATAATTAGATCCTATTCTATATAATAAAAATAAGTTTTTTTTACATATATTTGTGTAGCGTAGGTTTGGGTGAGAACATTTATTTTAAAAATAATGTCAAAATTTGAGTTGGGTAAAATATTTCTAAACTTGAATTAGATTAAATGATAAGGGAGTATCACATTCAGATTAAGATTGGATGGGTCATAATTTGACCCCAATCAACCCATACACATTCCTAAATATACCCAACTATCGCTTTACTATATATATCTAACATATTTTTTTAATCAACACGTATTAACTATTGAGTAATTAAATGAAAAGTTTATATAATTTAAATATCTATTTTAACAAAAATATTTTAAATATTTACACAAAAAGAAATGATTTAAATAATTATGTAAATAAAAACATTTTAAATATTTAAATAAAAAGATATTATATCTTTAAGTATTCGTTTTCAAAATAAATTATAAAAATAATTAATCCTTAAAATTAGTTCCATTTCCGGGCAGGCCAAGCTCCACGGTCTCTTTCACGATGAATTGGTGAGTAGGCTGCCCGTGTTGCCCGATTCCGAACTGAAAAAATGACGGGCAGTCACTCCCCATCCCCAGTTCTCTCTCTTCCCCTTCCTCCATTTTTCTTCTGCTATATCTTTTCTTCCCTCTCCAGGTCTACTTGATCACGATCCGACGGTCCAAAATAAAAGCTTATCCTTTAGCTTGTTTTCTTTGCTTTTAGTGCTGCAAAATCCTCAGATCTACTGTGGCTTCCTTCCAACGCTTATACTTTTCGCTTGTTTCCTTTGCTTTTAGCTCTGCGAATCCGCAGATCTACTCTCTCCGCCCTCTGATCTCCGTTTCTCGGTAAGTTGCTTTCCTCGTGTCTTCTCCTTTCGAATTTAGAACGTTTTCGAATCTCCTTAGTCTTTAACTAATTTCAGTTATGCCACTTTTCTTTTCATAAGAAAAGGCTTATTTTTACGAAAATCAACTCTCCGCCGGCGAGTTTCGTTCGTAATTAAAGGTTCTCTGTTGTGTGTGTGCGCGCGCGCTTTTGTGTTTTGGTTCGAATTTGTGGTGATTTTACTTCTAAAGGAACTTCGTTTTAAGTATAATTCCCGCTATTTTCTTATTTTGATAATTTTGCACTGTGGGAGAAATATTTACTTTTTAAAAATCATAATATTTTGAAATTTCGTTATGCTTTTGCTAGTCCGTACTGTACTCCGTAGGGATGAAGTTACAGATCTAACGGCTGACACAGCTCCAGCGCATATCTCGCGGTGGGAATTCTTTTTTCTGTGCAGGTTTCTTTTAGATTTATCGTTGGCCGTAGTGTGAAACAGAGAAGCTGACCTTAGTTCAATGGCGATTACGGTTAGTCACGTCACGCTAACATGCGCCGGTGAAACTCTAGCTATCATGTTCGTTTCGGCTCTCACCAAAACACACCTTTTGGCTCTGGTAACTTAGCTTTTCTTTTACTATTTGTTTATTTTTCTAATACAGTCTTCTCCTGACCATGGCCTTTACTTTCATGATATTTTTCTGCTACGGGTTGCTCAGTTTTTTGCTTATTAGCCATTGTAGGATTCCCCTGTTCAGGAACCCTTTTTTCTCTTTAGTAAATACATAATTTTATATTAAAAATAAATATATATTTGAGAAAATACTAAATATATATTTTTTAAAATATATTCTTTGTGCTTTTTCTTGCTAAAAGTATTTGATTCCACCACCACCACCACCACCAAGAATTTGCTTTGTTTTGCATTAGATTCCTGCTAAGATGCGCGGTTGTTGTTGGGGGCCGAGATTTCATTTTAATACGAAATAGATATAAGCTTAATATTCGTAATAAGAAGAATTAAATATACCGTATGAACTATATTTTTATTAAAGATTAAAAATATCCAAAAATAAATCGTCGCCTCAAAAGGATTTTTGTTATTGTTATTGGAGGTAAGCTGAGTAACGAAACTGAGAAAATTAAAAAATTGATACGAACTGAGGAAAACGATTCGGTTCGTTTTGGTTTGACTTTAAACGGTTCTGTTTAAAGGCTTCATTTTTTTTATTCGGTTCAGTTCGGGTTTTCCATATGAAATCTATTTGTTCCATATTGAACTGAATAGACAATTTTTGTAAAAAAAATTATAGTTTCAAGTGATTTTTTCATTGAAAAACCGATAAACCAAACCGAATCAAAAAAATCGGTTTCAGTTTTTTTCGATTTTTTAATTATTCGGTTTCAGTTTAAATATTGAAAAATCATTTATTTCGGTTCGATTCAGTTTTTGATAAAAAATAGAACGAATCGAACCGAACACAACCCTAATTGGAGGTGTCTAACATGCACAGTTTCGGTATTGATAACCTGCGCTTTTAGCTGGGGAAGATAGATAAATATTAAATCTAGGTGCCATATCACGCTTGTTTTCTAAAATACGAATAGCCAATTTCTTTTTTATGGAATCGAATATTCCTCGGATAATATCCTTGTCAAATCTAGGTGCCACATCACGCTTTTTGTTTGGTATTTCTTAACTTGGTTTTTGTTTACAACTGATTATGTAATCCTACTTTTTATGTCAAAATCTTAATGGTGATATTTATTTAATTATTATTTAAGTTAATTGTATTATACGTCTTTAAATTATAATCTTTATTTTAAATTGATTTTTAAGTTTTTTAATATTTTAATATTATCCTTAAATTATGATTATCATTAGTTCTCAAACTTTTGAATATTTTAATTTTATCCTCAAACTACGACTTTCATTCTAAATTGGTCCTCAAACTTTTTGAATATTTAAATTTCATTCTAAATATGTATATACTAATTACACCCTTTGTTAATAAAATCATTAGGTCAAATTATATTATTATATGTTTGAAAAAAATAAAATTTAAGTTAAACTATGGTTGAAACTAATTATATATTTGGATGAATTCGGGGATGAAATTAGAAGATTCAAAAGTTTAGGGATTAATTTAGAATGCGGATTCTAGTTTGAGGATGAAATTGATATGTTCAAAAGTTCAAAGAATAATTTAGAATAAAAATCATTATTTGATGATATAATTAGAATATTCAAAAGTTCAAGGACCGAGAACATGCAATTATTAGAATTATATTTATATTGTAACTAAGAACCTTAGCTTTGCTTTGATGTACTCTATGTTTTTTAGGAATGGTAACGGGACGGGTTCGGGGTGGGTTTTGCTTGCCCCGTCCCCGAAATGAATCTCCATCCCCGACCCGATCCTCGTCGGGTTTTTTATCGAGGCGTCCCGTCAAGATTTTTTTGCCCCGACCCCGAACCCAACCCGAAATATTATACTCAAACCCGAACCCAAAAATATTATATATATAATTAATATAAAATATATAAAATATTATATATATAAAAATATAATATATTATATATATAATCGGGGCGGGGATACCTTGCCCCCGTCCCCAAACTCGACCCGATATCATTCAAACCCGACCCGAATTTGACCAGGTTTCGGGTTTCCCCGTCGGGTTCGGTCATTATGCCATCCCTACTATGTTTTATAGGCTAAAAAGTTTTTCATGGTTATAACTGCTAATGTAGCTCTGCTTTAAACCGTGCTGTGAATACATTTTTATTTTTTTGTATTGGTTCCAGAACTCCTTTACGTTGCTGCTGGGCGACCACTCACAAAAACAGCCCAAGCCGAAGGACGCTGACGGGGAAGATGACAATGACGATAATGACAATGGGGGTGATGAGTTCGGAGATGGTGAAGAGGATCTGTCCTCGGAAGGTGGGGAATACGGCAACAATGGTAACAGCAACAATAACAACCCGAAGAAGGGACCTGAAGGTGGCACAGGTGGGGCAGAACAGAATGGAGAAGATGACGAAGACGACGGCAGCGACGACGGAGATGGTGAAGACCCGGAAGATGACGACGACGATGATGATGGAGGTGAAGATGACGAAGAGGATGTTGAAGGAGTGGAAAGCGAACAGGAGGAGGAAGAAGACGAGGAAGCTCTTCAGCCACCAAAGAAAAGGAAGAAGTAAATTGGTGATAGATAAGTTGAAGCCTCCCTTTGTTATAGGTAAACTTGTTCATCTAACATTATAATCTTTTATTTAGGCATCGAGGAGGCTGTTTAGGGTTAATGTGTTTGCGCATATATATCACTTGCATAATTAGAGTAACTACTTGGAATCAATTGGAAAACAACGTGTATGATTCCTCCAGCCGTTAGTTCTCATAAAAAAGTTGATAGATATCATAGTTTTGCTAGCATGATTGTTTCAAAGATCTATCACTATATTATCTTTTGGTTAAAATAACTAGTTTTGCATATATTTAAATCGATCTCAATGATAAAAAAAGAAGTGAGTTTCTAATTTGAAATCATTGACTCAAACAATCACGTTTTAATGATATATACACATTGTCAATAATTAAAAAAAATTCAGACATGTATTATATTATAATTCTCCATACTATTAAAAATCGTAACCCTATACGGTTGATTATCGAAAGAAGCAAAACTTGTTTTCGAAATCAATAGTACACCACCTTGAAGTGGACAACATTCATTTAACACGATATCTTAAAAATCTTTGGATTATAAAGTCTCTCCAATCATGTTATTGTGAGACAAAATAGATCAACCTTGTCTTTTAAAGATTAAATCCAGATGATCTATAAAGTAGACTCATCCAACCATAAATAAGTCTTGATAGTCTTTGAACCAAACCAAACCAAAGCATCTCTAATATGGTTTCATAGTTTACTTAATGATTGAAAGTCTTTAGAACATGTATTACCACTTATAATCACCTTCGATTAATAAAAAAATTAAATTCGAATATCTCAATACATGGTTTGAATAGTTATCTAAACTAGGGTAATTAGGGATGACAACGGGTTAGGTTAAGGTCGGGTTTTTGGTCAACCCATCTCGACCTGATCTGAAATTTTTATATCATCCACCCGACTCAAACTCGACCAGAAACTTTAGAGTATAAATTGACTCTTCCCAACTCGACTCGATATAAAACAAATATTTAATTAAAAATAATACTTTTATGAAAATTATATTATTATCCTCAAATTAAGTCGGGTCGAAATTTTCTCATCTTCTACCAAAACATGATATGACCCGTCGGATTCGGATTAAATTGCCGTCCTTAAGGTGGTGTTTGGTTAGCTGGAATGTTTCTGAGGGAATTGGAATCTGTGAAGGAATTTAAATCTGTAGGAATTGGAATATGAATCTGAAACCTGTTTGGTTGGCAGGAAATTGAATTGGAATCCAATTCCATATTCTGTTTGGTTCGCAGACATGTCAGATGAATTTGATTTCAGTAATGTAAAATGACAGAATTGCCCTTCTTATTTTTTTTCTCTTAATTTTAGTTTATTTTATAACTTACATGTAGCAATATATTATAAAAATTTAAAAAATATTAAATTTTCGTTTTATTGATTGATTATTCATTTCAATAAATTATAAAAATCATAAGTTAAAATCATCCCAATTAGGGATGGCCATGGGTTGGGTTGGGTCGGGTTTTTGGTTCACCCGACTCGACCCGAGAACAAGGGAACCTCCACCCGAGACCCGACCCGACCCGAAATAATAAAAAATATTTTTATTCAATAGAAACAGTGACTTAATTGAAAAAAAATATATATAGAGGGGTATTATTGTAATTATTCCTAAATATATAAGGTAAAATCATATATATTTTTCGGGTCGGGTCGGGTATTTTTCACCCTAAACCCGAACCCGACCCAAATATCACACTTAAAAAAACCCGACCCGACCCGAATATCACACTTAAAAAAACCCAACACAAACCTGACCCGAACCCAAATTTTTTTTAAAAAAAATCAGTCCCGATCCCGATATTTTTTTTTAAAAAACCAGACCCGAATATCAAACTTAAAAAAATCCAACCCGACCCGAACCCGAATTTTTTTAAAAAAAAATCCGACCCGAATACCAAAAGATTGATGAGGATAGTATGGTCAAATTTCGCATTCCCTCCTCTAAAAGATTTCAATTCCATCATGTTATGGATGTAATTTACTTTCCCTCCCTTGATGAAATTGTATTCCAATTCTCCCTTTGAAAACTTGAACCAAACATGAGAAAGTGATAGAATTGGATTTTAATTCCCCATAATTCTAAGGTATTCCAGTGAATCAAACCCTACCTAAGAGTAATCAAAGTTTTTTTAAGAAAAGTATAAAGCTGAGCATCCTAACGGTTGTGTTGAGTAACAAAAGAGCCCATAAAGTGGAATTTGGGTTGGTATTGGTATGCGCATTTGCTTGGCTTTAAGATACAATGAATGTGGACATGTTTTTCCTTCTAGAATTAGGTCACTAAAAATCTCAGTTAGTAAGCCTAGGGATTAAAAGAATAAAAAGGTGGAGTTTCTGTAATGAAAAGACACGCCAAGAGTAATGTCCGAAAGTGAAGCACTACCTTTAAAGCCATTATATTCTCAATGTTCTTTCAGTCTTTGGTCAGAAATTAATCCACCAGGCTCTCCACTCAGCCTGATACATTGAACCTAGACGCATTTCAACAGAGTGGAATACTATTTATATTATCCATTTCCTGTCTCGTCGATTGTTTTATGTTCTGCCAAATCAATTACTATTTCAAGCTAGATTTAGACATGAGAGATCTTAGAGCTTTAGAAAACTTGAGAAATGACCAAATTTATTTTCTTGTTTTTTAAGGGTAAAGTACACAAATGATCTCCGATTATAGTATATTATTTTATTATTAAAAATTATAAAACGATATCTCAACTTTAGAGTGTTGTATTGTTGAGTCACCCAACTATTAAAAATTACAAAATGATCAGTTAACTATTCATAAGTAATTTCAAACTCATCATTTTTTCGTTAAAAAGTTGAAGACTATCTGAGCCGAATGTTAACATGTTGACTGGAATATGATAAAAAAACATATTTTAATGTTATCTATTGGCACCTCCGTTGCTTTCAAACATTGGGTCGACGACATAATGTAAACGGAGAGTCAATCCAAAAAATACATCTCAAACGGTTCTGGGATCATATTTTATCATGTCTCAATCAACATGTTAACGTCTAGCTCAAAAGACCACAAATTTTCTAACGAAGAAGGGTAAGTTTGGAACATGTGTAGTTAAGTGACTATTTTGTAAGTTTTAATAGTTGAAAGACTTAACAAAGTAATACCCTATAGTCAAAAAGACGGTTTGTATACTTACTTTTATTAAAATTTATTTTGTTACTAACATTTTATGTGAAATAAAACAAACCCTAAATCCATTTTTAAAACCTAATAACATAGATCAAAGAAAATGAAATTATAGTACATCACAACCGGTGTTTATTCAAGCTTTTTTTCTTCATAGAGTTGCAACATTAATTCTTATTATCATATGTCTTTTTAAGCATATTGATATGGCACACAGATAAAAGAGAGCACACCTTGCATTTTTCAAACTTATTAGATATGCCGTATTTAGATGGAAAATGAGGCCATTGCTTCGCCAATGCTTAGGAAGACCCTTCCTCCAATTTTGGGCACAAAGTTGGCCAACTTCAACTTGTCAATAACTTGCCACCTAGGGTTTGCAATAGCCAGCTGCAATAATATAAAGTATGAATATTAATATATAACACAGGTTCGATTAAACTCTAAATCTTAAACCTTAAATCGACTCGAAAACAACGTAGAGTTATATATACTTTGATGCCATTGGAATCGAGGTTCTTTTGCAGTTCATCCATCGAAGCGATCCCCGATGTATCAATGTCCATCAAATCTATACCATTCAATGAAAAAGGGAAAAAAATAAAACCAGAAATATTCAATAATCTCTTCGAAAAAACAAATCTGCTAGTTCTCAAAAATCTTACTGGAAATGTCAAGAATTACTATTTGAATAGTCTTTTCTGCATTTCCCAGTTTGCAGTCCTTTTCTTCTTCGATAACCCATTTCATAATCCTGAAAAAGAAAGAGAGAAAAAAAGCATCATGTCTCTTGCTTATGATCTTCAAGCATTTGAATTAAGTGTTGTGTACCTTTGCCTGACAAAATTGGCGTTTGCAAAACACAGTAGTGCAGATTTGAGACGCATGATTAAGACACCTGGAGTCTTGACAGCCATTGGATATTGATTGACATCACCAAACATATCACTTCCGGGTAGCCTTCCGAGTGTTTCGGTGCCTGGTCGAATCGACACCAGAATTATCTTTGCAAATGAAATTGTTACCTGCACAGGACATGTAAGAGCTATGTGTATGGATGAACATTGAAAATGGCAAAAGCTTAGTGGAATGCATGACATTTTCGAAGGCTTCAACACCATTCATGTCAACTATCTCATGACCCGAAACCTTTCTGGTTTATTCGAGATAACGACTTTCTGGTTTATTCGAGATAACGAATGTTCAGGATTGAATTCTGACGTTACATATCGAGTAACACGATATGTTCAGGATATGAACCTCTGTTTGTGTTTATAATTATGTCGTGCTTGAGTGGGGTTTAGAGTTAGTAGATGTTACAGCTACAAGAAGGCCAATCTCCACAGTTGCGAACAGCACTCCCAGGAAGGCTCCAATGCAAGCGAGGAAGTCTAGTTTATCGACCTTCCAAATGTTGTATGCTTCGTTGACGTCGATAAGCCCCGGCAGTGCCGACAGAATGATCGAAGCGAGGATCGTGACTGGGGTGTAGTACAACAGCTTTGTAAACAATTCCAATGATATGAACACCGTGATCGCCATCACGACGTTCGATATCATGGTTTCACAACCGGCACTGAAATTCACTGCTGTGCGCGAAAAGGAACCTGCGATGATTTTACTCGAACCCAAGTTAATTTAAGTTATTTGAATGGTCATATGTGTCACGGTTCGATGTTCGAAACATGATGAATTACCGGTTGCGACGTAGCAAGATGTGAAAGAACCGATGATGTTCATGAATCCCATGGAGACCATTTCTTTGTTTCCGTCGAGGTGGTAGCCTTTTACGGCTGCAAAAGACCGACCAACTGCAATTGCTTCCTGAGATTGACAAAAAAACAGAAAGTTAGTAAAGATTGAGGATATAAGATGTTCTGAATTCGGATAAGTCACCAACCGTGAGTGCAATTATGGCTACAATCAGACCAGTCTTAGCCACTTCCCCAACATGTGGTCCGTTGAACTGCAACTGATGAACTGAACTTGGATTTAAGCCTCCTTTGATGTGTT